TCCTCCGAGCCCCAGGAGCGGGGGGACTGCGGGCGGACAGCGCTGCCCTGACTCACCGTGTTGCCTTTGACGGGCTCCGGGTGATTCTCTCCCAGCCTTCTTCTTCTTCTCCAGAGGCTTTAAAGTGCTTTCGAGAAATATGTTATAAAGCGTGTTTTGCTCAGTCACTGGAGAAGTTGAATGAAATCCTTCAGGGACGAGCACTAGATAGRGCTTCAGGTTGCTTTTTGCATTTGCAGCAGTGTCAGAAGCCTCAGGCGTGGTGGTGGTGGATCTGTTGGAGTAGGAGTTGTGCAGCTGCAGAAGCCAGCTTTAGTTTCTTTAGTCATGGAGTGGGYGATTCCAAAAATAAGGTGTCTGTGGGCTGGTGTTTGTGCTCACTGTTAGCTCTCAGTCACTGATGACTCTGGTTTGTTTGTTCACTTTACAGCAATCTGGGGCTCTGAAGAGGAGGTTCCAGTCACCACATGGGAACCCACCCGTGAAACGCCAACGTAAATTATCCATAAACACCTTCAGGAAAGGTGCCACGGAAGCTGACAGGAGGGAGGAGGGAAGCTCATCACAAAAACCTGTTCCTAAGAAGCAGTTGACTGGCAAGCAAAATGAAAACCAGAAGAACAAACCTTTCATTAAGACGTCCAGCCTGTTTAAAAACAACCCAGACATTCCAGAAATTGAGAGGTATTTTGGACAAATGGGAGGGAAAAAACAATTTCACTCTGTTGAATTCTTGCCCTTGCTTGTCAGGGCAGTGGCTTGGTAGATGTAGTTTCATTGCTGATTATGTAGAATGCTTTTGTATCATTTTTAACCCTACTGTGTGTTTTGTTTTGGTTTCCCCTAACTTAGGAAAGCRGTGCAGCAGCTGCAAGAAAATGTTTTCACTACAGATTGCTTCAGCCAGCTGGACCTCCACCCCCATCTGGTGAGTGGCAGGAAGGCTGCATGCCTAAAACCTTGAGGGTTTTGGGTGGGGAGCAGTCAGAGAGCTGAGAGATTTATTCGTGGTGACCTGCACAGGCTTGCTGATACTTTACTTTATTTTGTCACAGTCTGTTAGCTCGAGATGCTGGCCTCTGTCCTGACCTGTCCCCAAACACAGTCCCAGCACCCTTCACTGTTTGCAGCTGTAAAACCAAAAACCACAGAAAACCAGCAATAATGTAATTCTGATTAACTTAGTATTCTGAGTACATGGGAGTATTCAGGAGTACATGGGAACTTTTTATCTTGTTGCCCTACACCAGTTATATAGAGAGTAAACGTCAGTCTTTAGGTTTTGCTCTGTTTTGTATTACAAAAAAATAACAAAACAAACAGTTTGACAATGAAACCTTTATTTCTCTTTATTGTCTCTCTAGGTCTCYACAATAAACACTGTCCTAAACATATGTAGCATGACCAGGTAAGCAAATTAATATAAAAACATGGCAGTTTACCTCTAAAAGCCAATCATTGTGATCATTTCATAATATGTAATTGGTTTGTGAAGACCACAGTATCTACTATCCCATTTGCTGTTGGGTTTGTAGGGAGTTCTACCCGTCTATTTTGAATTTATCACATCTGATGCTTATCCAGTGGCTTTGCTAAGAAGTCTGTAGCTACACAGCAGAGATGAATGTGAGAAATTGGGGGTAAAGAGTTTTGAAACAGTCACTGCATGGTAAAACCTTAGGATTCTATACCGTGTTGCATCTCTTCTGTTTGTCACCCAGTGTTCAGAAGCAAACAATTCCTGTGCTCCTGCAAGGCAGAGATGCCCTGGTGAGATCTCAGACTGGTTCAGGTCAGTGTTGAACTGTCACTTTCCTTCCTTCGGGCACATTAACTGGATTTATTTAGGTAGATCTTAGTGGGGTACCACCCCCTCTTTTCTAACTGATCCTTTTTTGAATTTCCTGTCAGTCTTCCATTCTGGATACTTTCTACTTAATAGAAATTGTTCCAGACTGACTACAGGTTAAGAATGGTGGGACAAATGGTCATATAGTTTGCTTAAGGGTTCTAATTGCCATATATGTTTTTAAAGGAAAGTTTTCCTGTTTTCTCCCTTTTAAAAAGGTAAAACTCTTGCCTATGGGATTCCACTTGTACAGTCTTTGCAAGGAATGCAACCCAAAATACAGGTAAGTGCAACAGCACTAATTATATTTGCTTTTGATATTAAGATTAATAAAAACAAAATGCAGCTCTTGTAGTCATTGCTGTCTCTTTTTCTACAAGCAGTTTGTGTTCCCCTTTATTTGTACATGGGACARATGGGATTTTCCAGTTCTGTTGAGATGTGGGTGGTACAAGGCCAATGTTACCCATTCCCCATTGCTCCATGCAGCAGGATAAAATGGAAATGGGCTAAATTATCAGGTTTGGAGAAGGTAGAGAGCAGAAGAGACAATAGTCTGGAAGCTGGGAGAACTGAAAATAAAGGTTACTGCCATGTTTGTAGAGGGAGTGAGTTTCTAACATTTGGCATGGAGTGGTATTGGATAATTGCTCCAAGTTTTGATCATACACCAGAAAATGCTGCTGCAGATCTTCCATCTCTTGTGCATTTTGTGGAAAGAGATCATCCTGATTGAAGGGTTGAAGCATTTCCAACCCATCTTGGATTGTCACTTCCTGCAACTGCTACCTACAGATTGTTGCTGTGCAYCAAACAGAAGAGCATTCCTGTGGATCAGAAATGCAGGAGTGAAACAACGTGTGCAATAAAATGTTGGGTTTGACTGTGAGCAGGTTCCCAGCAGGGAAGAGAAGGCAGTGCAAGATTGATCCGTGAAAGGCTTGATTTTTTAAAAGCTGTGAGGCAGAAATCCCCTAAAGCATTGTATGCAAACTTGTCCTAAAGCCCTGTAGAATGGTGGGTGCTGGCTGACAGCAGGGAGGTGTGGAAGGGCTCAGTTTAGTGCTGCCTTCTCTCAGTGGCCCTGCTCTTGTGTTTGCAGCGCAGTGATGGGCCCTATGCACTCGTGCTCGTCCCAACCAGAGAGGTAAGTGGCTTTTCCTTTCTCAGTCTGAGGGTTTGAGCACTGATTTTCGGGGTGTAGGTGTGGCTCCACCAGGGAAGGTGAACTCTAAAAGTTCCCCAYGTTAGAAAAYGCTGTCRGTSCTTTTGCTCAGATYTTGCCCTYRCAGAGTGTTGTCATTTTTGTTCAGTGCCAGCCAGAGTAAGAAATGAGGAGTTTGTGAGTTTTTCTCCTGCAGTTGGAAATCTCTGTGAAGACTGCAGAGTCTCTCTGGCTCAGTGCATGGCTCATGCCTCACTCACTGGGGAATGAGTAAAACCAATGAATTCAGCTTTGCAAATATGTAGGTTTATATAAATGTTTCATTTTTAAATATCTATTTTCAAATCCATAAGTGAATGCTGAAGTTGAGGTCTCCAAGAGTTGGTTTCTCCATTGAACTTTTCTATTTAATTTATATTACTTACAATTGCAAAGRCAGTGTCAGAAGAGGGTATCAACTTTCTTTTTATATGTGTGTCAGATGATAATAACTTCCATGTGGAGAACTGATTGCAGGTATCTCATTTGGGGTCCAATATTTYATGCAACCTGCACTGCAATAGCTSTGCTCTGTTCCCTGAAAGGAGAAGGCTCTGAAGCTATTTAAATTTTTACAGCAACAACTTACTGCCTCTTTAGGATGCCATGTGAATACTAAGCTTAGAGGAAACTGTGTGTGAGCTCGTTTAAAGGGCTGCCATTGAGAGCACTTAGGAAGATAATTTGTAATTACAATTGGTGTTACTCTGTATTGGAAGTGATGGCCTTCCTTGAGAAAAGAAGTGCAGAGGTGGAAAGATCCAGTGGCACAATCACTCCGTGGGTCAGGTCAGAGATCAGTGAGAGCTGCCAGAAGATAATTGACCTATGTTTTTCCTTTTCATAATGTTTTCTTCCCAAAATTTCTAACATTTTCCCTCTTCCTCGGGAGCAAAATTTTCCATGCCTGCAGCTTTTCTACCCCGGGCATTCAGGGAAGCCAGCAGAAGTCTCTCATGTCTTGAGAGCTGGCTCATAGAGCTGAACCTGTTAGAGAGGTTTTTGAACAGGTCAGAATATAATAAAAGAGACATTGTTCAAGATAAAAAATTAATAAGCAGCTTATAAAGGATAAATTAAGGATGCATTCAGAATTCTGATGATAACTAGATTATCTGACAGATTTTTGAGCCATAGGGATTTGTAATCCAGCTTTTTAGTCCAGAGAGACTTTGTCAGAGCTCATTTTCTTTTGTTGCTTTCCATAGCTTGCACTCCAAAGTTTTGATACAATCCAGAAACTACTAAAGGTAAGAATTCAGTGCTCTGTGTTCTTTTTACTTCTGTCAGGGGCTAAACAACTTCAGTTCCTGTGAATTCCACTGAAGGTTTAAGGAGATCCAGCACCTGGCAAGATGYATGGTCCTTAAAGATAAATGTGTTTAAGTGTGTAATTTCCCTGTGGCATGTTTTAAATTATTACATGAGCAATTAAGTGATTAATTATGGCACCCTAGTTGCACATGTGCTGATAAACAAGCATAGTTGATTTTCACAGCCATTTGTTTTTAGAAATACCTTTCATTGTCTCAGCCTGAGTTATGAATGGAAACTCTCGCAGTGACAAGGACCGTTTTACTGAAACTAATACTGGACAGATGGGTTTCAGATGGGGAGTAGGACTTGGTGAACTGCTTTGCCAGCTGAATGACTGGAGAAATGAGAAGGCTTTTAAAATCATTAAATGATAGTGCTTTCCTTGTAATTGAGGCAGAGTATCTTACCATTGGGTTAGAAGGTGTTTAAATCATTTATTTGTCTGATCCATATTTCCACCCCCTCTTCATTTTTCCTGGGAATAATAGGGCACTTCCTTATTATTTMTAAGTCTTAAAATGAGACAAGTCTTATTTTAGTGCTTGAGCTCTGATCACATCACATGCACGCTGCTGTCAGCCCCATCCTCTCTTTTTTTTTTCCAAGAAACATCATTTTTTGATTAGGCTTTGTCTTGTTATTAAGAAGAATCATTGCTCGTCTTGGTTTTCCTTTCTGTAGCCATTTACCTGGATTGTGCCTGGAGTGCTAATGGGGGGAGAAAAGAGAAAATCAGAAAAAGCCAGGTAGGAAACCAACTTGTTAAATTGTTTTTTATGTCCTTCTTGTCTACAGAGTCTTATCTGTTACTCCTCTTCAGAGTGTTTTTTTACTGGGAGGGAGGATGGTGAGCTTGGATCAAGCTGTGATCCCCTGGATCTTACACAGGCACAGGGGCTGGGTCAGCAGGAAACATTCACTTCCCCCAGTTGGATCCATTTCTAAAATGTTGATGAGCCTTCTGAGAAGATGATATCTTGTGTCAGTATTTTTTTTTTCCTCTCCTGACAAACACCTGTATTTGCTTACCACCAAGCACTGCCTACAGTATTTGTTATGGGGGAAATTGCTTTCTGGAGAAGAGATTTCCTGGTGTTAAAAATCCCTTTCTTTTCCCTTTTCAAGAATTGAATTGTAAGCTGGTAATCCAAAATGGAATTTTCATTTCTCTCTATATAAGCATACACAAAAAGAAGTTTACTCTTGACAGTAAAACAAGTACTCAATTAGAAAAGAAAACCTAGCTAGGATGTGTTAGACTTTTTTTTGTTGTTTAATATTATTAATATATTTCCACCCTGTCCTTAGCACTGAGTGTGCCTCTGAGTATCAAAGTATCAATGATGATCAAGGATAAATTTTGGCAGTCCAAAAAATTCAGTTTTAATCAGTGAGAAAGTGCTGTCCCTAATTTTACTGGGGTGCTTTTTCCTTCTGCAGGTTCCAGTTCCTCACTCTGTACCCTATTYCATGCTAACCTGSATGGGGTTGTTTTTTTTTTTCTTTCTTACATGSGTTTTATTTTTTGTTTTTAAATCTACACAGATTGAGGAAAGGGATAAACATCCTCATTTCCACTCCTGGCCGCCTGGTGGATCACATCAAGTCCACAGAATGCATCCATTTCCGTCGCACTCAGTGGCTGATTATTGATGAAGCAGACAGGTAAACTTCCAAGTGTTTAGATATGGAAAATTATCACAATACCCTCTGCATCATAATTCACTAAATATTATAAAAAAGTGTGAGAGAGAATGCGATCTTAAGCCGTTCATGCTCAGTGGCCTCAGCCAAGCACCAGATGTCTGGGATTAGGACAAAAYACCCGCTTTGAACAGATTGTTGGACAATTATTCATTGCAAAGATGTCATGGAGTATTAAGACTTTCTCCTTCYTACAGCACCTTTAACCATCTCTGCTGTTTCTGCAGGATCCTGGACCTGGGCTTTGAGAAGGATGTGGCTGTGATACTCAAYGCTTTAAATGCTGAGAGAGAGACACGTCAGAATGTGCTGCTCTCAGCCACCCTCACTGAAGGTGAGTTATGGACAGATGGGGGTTCTTTCAGCTGAATAATGCACAGACAACTGCAGAATAGTTGGTTAAGTCTGRCTCTTACAGCCCAGCCTGAAGCCCTTTGCACAAGTGGAACAGCTCTCTGTTCATTTCTTTGGTTTATGATACTTCCTTCATTACTGGAATTTCTGTTGTTGTGTGTACGTACGTGGTCTTCACATTTGTCTCCCAAATTCCATGGCAAAGGCTCCATGAACTTGGAAGTTGTTTTGTTTGCTTTACAAATCCAGAATTAAGGCAAAAAGTTAGAGACAAGAGAGCTGCTGTATGCTTTGTTCTGTATCACACAAGTATTCAGCTGCTAAGTTAGGAACTGAGCCCGGCCTCCTGGCTACTCCAGTCTTGACAGAGTGAAGATCTGTTTTTTTTCCATACCCATATTTAAGAGCAGGACTGCCAAATTCTGTCTGTCCATAAAGACATTTATTTAATGTAAAAGAGCAGAGTCAGCTCAAGTAATGTCTTCCACAGCAGCTGAGCCTGGTGAGCCCTCAAAAAGCTGAGGTTTGTAACAGAGTTCTGTCCCTGTCAGAATGGCTCACTGAGTCCTTGTCCTTCACTCCTGTTCACTGGAATTGTGTTTGTTGTTTTTTTCTGTGAGTGCTTCATCCCAGCCCAGACTGGGCCTCACATGTCTCATTTCCTGTGGTTTAGGAGTAACACGCCTGGCCGATATCAGCTTGAATGACCCCGTCAGCATTTCCATAGCAGATGAGATCCAGAAGGTGCCTGACCCAGCATCACAAACGGGTAGAGAAGCCAACAGTGCATCCAACTGTATGGAGCAGGAAAACTTTGCTGTTCCTGAGACACTCAAGCAGTATGTTGTGATGGTCCCCAGCAAACTGAAACTTGTCACGTTAGCAGCTTTTATCCTGCAGAAATGCAAGGTGAGACTCTGTTTGCATTTATATTACGAAGTAGCCCTTTGCCCTTTCCAACTCCTTTATCTGTTCCTCTGTYGAGGATAGCATGGATTAGATCCAGGGCTTTGAAGTGCATCTTGAACCACAAGAGAGCTGAGGTGCTGTCGTGTCTTTCATGCTGGCAGAGAGATCCCTGTGCAGCATGTACTCATTCTTCTTTTGTGGGATAATTATATCTCCAGAAGTGTAAACCACCTGGATCTGTTAATGATGGGGGAATTGGGAGAGGCCTTTGGTGATGGTCATGTGCAATACTCTTGTTTTTCATGCAGTTTGAGAAACGCCACAAGATGATCATCTTTTTCTCCAGCTGTGAGCAAGTGGAATTCTACCATGAGCTCCTGGTAAAGGTCYTTGCAGGAGGGTCAGAGTCAGAACAACCTGGACATTCATCCCTCTCCTCTATGAGCTTACAGTTCCTACGGCTGCACGGCGACATGGAACAGGAAGTAAGCACTTTCAAAATGTCTGGATCCRTGGTTTTATTCCTTATTCTCCATGATTTATTATGTGGCTATTTTGGGGAGGAGGGCAGAAGAGAGGACAGAGAGTCATTTCACCTCTAGGGGCCTCACTCTTCCATCTGCTAATGAGAATAAGGATATTGTCCCATTTCTGGAAAGTACCTTGGTATCTGGATCTGAAAAACACACCTGAAGAGGCAAATGTGTTATTCCAGCAGGCAGAGCAGCCRTTCTGTATTCCCACTGGGGGCACTAAACCATTTATGTCACTGTGGTTCTCTCTCATGCAGTCAAGACACATTTTAATGCCAAAGGAAAACCTTATCCAAGCCCCAAAACATTACTACCTAATAAGTTGCCCCCATTAGATGAGGCTGGGGAAGTTTGGCTTTGGTTTTGAGGAACAGTGTCTTAACARACTGCTGTTTTCCCTGGGACGGAATAATAGCATTGTAACAATGATTACCCCAAAACAGGTTTAGGTTTTAGCCAGATAGGCCTGAGTGGAGAKATTGGAGCATGGTAAAGAGGGCTGAGAGGCCAGGAGGAGAGTGTCAAATGAACTATCACTGCAGAGTTTCAGTAGCTGAGAGACCTCCCTTGGAAGTTCAGTCCCAGTCCCTGCCCTTGGTCTGTGATGGAGAGAGTTGCCACTCTACTCTGAGTTGCACAGCAGAGATGGTAAATGAATAGAGCTCTTCTGATGAAGCAAGAGGTGAAGAGCCATTGTTTTTCTCACTCATTCCCATCCTGTGGAGACCAGAAACATGTGCTTTGCTGTCCCTGCAGTCTGGCCTTTCCTCAACCTGCCTGCCTGAGCAAGTGAGCAGGCCTGGTCTGGCCCAACTCTACCCTGACCAGCTGTTAAGCCAACAGAACACCACTAAGTAGCTGGCACCAGGGGAAGGGTTTTGCCTTTTTAGTACCCAGTGTGTAATTAGTGCTTGATGTCTTCAAATTAAGAGCATTAATGGAGCTAAATTGTGGATCCCATATGGTACTGCTGAGCACGGCTGCTGTCATTGTCAACAAGATACAGCGTGCTCTCTTCTTTAATTTTTGTCAGCAGAGGGTTCAGTGTGTCAGCAAGGCCCAAGTTTCCCTTCTTTTCTAGAACAGCACCTCTAGCTGGGAGTCAAGGTGTGTAAGGTTTCTTCTCTACCATCTCAACATCACAGGATTCACTTAGYTCCTAGCCAGAACTCTAGGGAAAGGCTTGAAACATGGAAACAAGGATATTTTGGAAGGTTAGCAGAAAAGGAGGTGTAGGTGCAGAAGTGGTATTGGCAAGTGAAGACCAAGTTCTGCTGAGGCCTTTGGTTATTGGTGCTCAGAGACAGCAAATATTGTGATTTAATGTGAGTTGGGGAGTCAGTTTTTGTGGCTTTCATTAGGAAAAAAACTCAACCCAAAGTTGTGTGCTTGGGAKGGTTTGGGGACTGACAAAGCAGGAGGCTTTTGAGGGGCAGTACTGGGTTCCTGCAGTTCCTTTCAATGGCTCAAAGATTCCTGGTGGGGTAATTTGGGGTCTTGGGGCTGTGGATGGCTCTGCCTGGGGGCCTGGTGTTGTGTTAGAAGTGGGGTCTCCAGGAGTTGTGGTGATGCAGAGCAGAGATTAGGACAAGGGTGGGCAGCACCAGCCTTTGACCCTGGTGGCAGGAAGGACCTCAGTCCCGGTGTCATGAGCCTCATTGGTGACCTTTGCCAAGAGAAGGGCATGGACGGTGCCTCCTTTCCACCTGGGGCAGGCATTTCTGGCCATCTCTGCTGCCCTGTTACTTTGCAGATTTGTCCCCCAGCAGTTCCCTGTGCAGCTGAGCATCCCTGCCACTGGGTAATTCCCGAGTCAGTGTGGTGGCTGTGTGCATGCCCCATTGGGCACATGATGAGGCTGATCTCTTGTGATGTGATTATGTCGCTGTGTCAACAAAATGGGCTTATCCTGCCCATYGTGCGACTGGACAGACAGCAGTGAACGTGTCCAGCTTTGCTTGCTTCCACAAAAGCCTCTGCTGCCCATAAAGTGTGCCAGTGCTTCTGCTGRTGCTGCCTAATCCTTTGTGGATCCCCTGTCCATGTAAAACAGTTCCTGCTTCCTGGCACACACAGGCTGTRCTTCTGTGCAAAGCGTGGAGGTGTTGGCTGCTCTGATTTGACCAAACACATCCAGGCTTCCCCAGACACTGCTTTCCTACCTTGGACCACACCTGTGTGCCACAGATTTTTCCACTTGCAGGAAGAGTCTGAGGCCAATTCCTTTGCTTTTGAATCTGTACATGATCTAGTGAACAAGGCACTGTTAAATTGTAACCTTAGCTAATTTGCTTTGTGTTCGATTGTAATGTGCATAAGCAGTCTTTTAATTCTTCCTTTTCAATCTCCTAGGAAAGAACAGAGGTCTTCCAGGAGTTCCTAAAATCCAAGACTGGCATCTTGCTTTGCACTGTGAGTAACTTGGAGTCCCTTTGCAGCCCCACACTAATGGGCCTGTCTGATCCCTAAGGGTAACCAGAGGAATTGGCACTGAGCTCTAATTCCAGCTCKCTGTCTGACCTTGAGGAAAGTCATCTCCTTTTTCTGCATCTCACATGTTCAGTAAGGACTGGGGCCCTCTTTCCAAACTATTAATATGATCTTTTGCTGCAGGTTACCATATACAGAAAAAAATATCTATCTTATATTGGAGACCTCCAAGTATTTTGCATGGTCTTATGTCTGGAAAAATCTGTTCCTTTGAAGCTGGAACCTTGCCCTCTACRTGCAGCCAGTAGAATGCAATCCTGATTTGTAGCGTGCCCCGTAACTGCCAGGAAATTTGGATGGAATGTGGCATTTCCCATCTTAATAACTACCCCAAAGTTAAAAACAACCACCTGCAGAGGTGGAAGGGGAGCCCAACCAGAGAAGGGGTAACTGGAAAAGCACATTCTCTGCTGCTCTCCACACTTTGTGCCCTTCAGGCTCCTTCCAAGGGTGCTGAGGGAGAAATTCTTGTCCTCTGCTGAAGTTTGCTGGCACCCTTGGGTTGTGGTGGCACCTTCGCCTCTCGCTCCTGACCTGCCGGGGCCACAGGCTGCTGCAGTGGTGCAGAAGGCTGCACGATTTGCTCTCTAATAGTGGCAGCTGTTGATCTGAAAACGTGTGAATCTTGGCGATTTCTACCCACCGCAAACCTGTAAATTACAGCGATCGGGAGTAATTAGAGCTGAGAAACCCTCTCCAGCTCTGAAATGACTCCTGTTCTTGCTGCACATTATTCTTAAAGGAAACCAGTTGCAATTTTTTTTAGAGTGGGGGCTGAATTTTCTTTTATTTTTCTGCCCAGAGTTCAAAGTAGGAGTGCCTTGTGTGCAGGAGTGTTTGATTTAGCATTGCCAAATTATATATTATATCACCTGTAAAATTCTACTTTTTGCATTCTGGTCTTGCATTGTRTGTACAACCTTTCAGTGATTTGATGAAGGTCAAAATGCATCTTTGCAGTGCAGGAGTGGAACTGATAACTTGGTTTCCTTTTTTATAGAAGTAATACTTGAGTGCTTCCACTGAAGAGGGTAGCAGAGCTTAAATCATTCAGTGGTGTAGATTGTTTTGAAGATAAAAAGTGTTTGGTAAATTCTAAAAAATTAATAGCTGAAATTTGTTGCCCTTCATGCCCATACTGCCTATAACTGAGAAGTGTAAGGTACATGTCCAATGTAATGAGTTTGGAAAGAAGGTAAACGCTAAATTTCAGACAAAGAGAATTGTTGTAATCACTGGGCTCTCAGTTCCAGGGTGAGACCATTTGAAGGGGAAATGCAGCCTGACAGGAAAAATCTGTCAGGAAACGTACAACTGTTGACAAGGTAGGAAGCTAAAAATTTGGATAAAGAAATCCCAGTGGATGGGATTCCCCTCTTGAGACGCTGGAGACGTGGTTTGATTTCCTGTTGTGCCACAGACTGTACAGGTGGACATAGAATTSGGATGACAAGGCAAGTGGCCACACRTAGTGGATAGGGATAGTTGTGGGTTTGCTCCTGATCTGTCCCAAATGGGAGGTAATGGTCATAAATGGGAGATAACGTGGAGTAACCTGGATTGCCATGAAGAGGGTGGTGTAAGGTAACACATTTATTGTAACTCTCCTCCTCTTCAGTGGAAGGCACTTTGAGTTTCCTGCAAGGCAGGGATGCAGATCCTGGCGGTTACAGTGACTCTGGCTCAGCTGGCACTCGGTCAGCACGTTAAGCACAGTGAGTTGCGTGGCTAAGTCCAAAATCTCCCTGTGCTTCGACTCCCCATCTGTAAAATGGGGAAAGTAGCTCAGTTCTATCTTACAGAGATGTTGGGAGGACGAATGCATTGAAAGCAGGAGGTGGCCTGTTACCACAGTAATGGGGACCATATGGACACCTTAATATAGAGATACACTTTGCACCAGTCCCACATTACAGGTGCCTCCCCAACGCAGATGTCCAAAGGGCAGCCAGGCTCTGTGACCACCTCCTGCCTCTAAGGGCATTGCTTTTTCCAACACTCTTCTCCAATATCAGGAAAAAAAATATTCTGCGGAAAGGTGRTTCTGTTCTTTTTGCTGTGAAATCACGTTTTGTGCCCGCAAAATTTTGAAACCTGGCTCACAAAAGAGCAACAGAAATAATGTTGCCRTCCTTCCCTTGTCCCTTATGCCATGTTCTCCACCCATCTTTCCGCTCTAGTAAGCAATGGGACCTGCTGTTCCTTTTATTAATTTGCTCTATGTCATATGTATATTAATATATTCCATAAAATATTTTTGCCAGACAATATAAGCTGGCAGACAAGAAAATAAAGAAGGGCCATGTATCTCAGAGGGTCTCATCCAGATTTATTTCTCTCTCCTTCACTGAAAGTTCTTTGCGGCTTCCTTTGGGATGTGCCTTTTAAACAAGTTCATCTCTTCCAGGGAGGGAGGAAAGATCATTTGGAGATTGTTTGCTGTTTACTCAGTCACGCTAACTCATCTTGCCAGTTTTCTGGCGGCCCCAGCCAAGAGCTTTCGCCTCTGACAGCTTCTGTGCTCTCCCCTTCCTCCTCTGATTACGCAGCCCAATCTGTCACCCTGCCGACGGGGGTCTCTACCCTGCTGATGGCTTTCCACACTCGGCAGTAATGACTTTTGGCAGGCCGGGAAGGCGCGAGAGCTTCTTCCCCAGCTTGGAGAGCCGTTAGGCCCTCTCTGCCTGTTAGCTAAAGCACTTTGTGAGGTTCTTTGGTAAATAAATGAGTCATTTTAATCCAACTGACAGCCTGGCACCTGAGCAAGCTGCCTTCCATCTGTACTTCTAGGCCTCATGTAGGCAGCCAATTGTCAAGCTCAGGGCCTTCAAGACCTCACCATTGAGTGTCTTTCAAAAGCAACTTTAGCAATTTCCTTTGCCCTAATTAGATTGTGTGAGAGGGACTGAGYGAACCAAAACTTTTGTGGCCCTGTTGGTTCTGATCTTCTGCAGTGACAGGACTTGCTTTCCGTGTGGCCTTTTTGCCCTCCATTTCCTGGCACCCTGTACCCCATTCCCTTCCACCCACTGCCTGTACCCCATTCTCTTTCACCCATCCCCCAAACCCCATTCCCTTCCACCCAAATCCCATTCCCTGGCACCCATCCTCTGTACCCCATTTTCTTGCACTCACCCCTGTACCCCACAAGCACAGGCTGGTAACATGAATTGTTCAAAGCAGAAATTTCAGCCCTTCTGGCATCCCTCAATGAATTGTTCCTTGATCCTGTACCCTTCTGTGCCTTGTAGYTGGGATCAGGGCAGGAGCATGATTAAAGCTTCAGGTTATTGTGTTTGCTTGGCATCTGGGCTTTGTTTAAAATAGTATTGATGTAGATTTTTTTTTTTTGCTCCCATGAGATGGTCACTGAAGAATTTGCCCTTCCATTGCCCATGGAAAGGAGGTGGCAGTGACCTGCCGAGGTGTTATATCCTTAATTTCCCTGTAATTAAGGAATGGTGGTGTGAGGTCATGCATGGAAAGGGAATGCCATCTGAGGCAGTGGAAAAGAAGGGAGAGTGGTACATTGAAAATCTCTTGGGCTTCTTGAAAGAGAACTGGCAGCAGGTTAGTGCTTCTGTGAGTGGAATAAATGTGTGCTAGTAAAACTARATAGTTGTTGTTTGAGCTGTTTTTCCTGGAAAGGTGACCCACAAGTATTTTTCTAAAATTCTGAGAAGTGGAAGCTGATGGGCTCTGCCAGCAGAGGAGCAAATCAGCTCAAACTTTTTACCCTAGTCCTACCTTGCTGCTCTCTACCAGGGTCTTTGAGGAAAAAGAGCTACAGGAGACACGGGTGGACTGATACTGAGGAATCTTTGAGAGTTTGCAAAACACTCCAATTACCAGTGAATCCCAAGAGASTTGTGAAAGAAAGCCAAGGGAAACCCCAGGAGAGATGCTGCTGCCGTGTGTCAGTAACAACTGAGTGGAGCTGGTGGCATTGTGAAAGCGATTGTGAATGCAAGGCTGGWGATGGGAGAAAGCCTTCTCCTAAAATGTTCTGTCTGGCTATTTRTGAGCCTTTTGGTGAACCTTTTCAGCTTGGGCAAATGCACATGAAAATGCTGTCTGTGGCAGTGATTTTCCAAGCTGAGATGTTGAGAAAATGTGTCTTGGAAGAGTAGGGAAGGAATCTGGGTGGATGAGAGGGATGGCTCCTGCCCATGCTAAGCTGTTAAAGGTGTTCCTGACAACAGGGAAGGCTTGGCCATTGGTTTATTTTGGTGAAACTGCCCTGTCCCAAGGTGAGAGCCCTCTCCTCAGACAGCCTTTCCTCATCTCCTGGGTGTGAAGAAGAGCATAGAGTAAAGGAAAAGACCAAAGCCTTGTCAGCATGGGAGAACAGAGCCAGCCAGCTCGGAATCAGACGTCAGCGCTCCTGTCTGATCGTGCTGCAGAGTTTATAGTCTTGTTATCCCAGTAACTGCTGTACACGCTTCCCGACTTGCCTTGATTTATTTTCTCCAACCTCCTTTAAATGGCTTTTTGTACATCTGTTCATTCTGACTCTGGGAACAAGTCACTCCTTAATGAGCGTGTTGGAGCGCGAGCGTGCATTATTTCGGAGTGGGCGCTGTGGAAAGTGTCTCCTCTTTTACTGCAGTTGGAGCCACAAAACAGCCTGGTTAGTGCTTATGGGAAGGYCTTTGCTGCCAAAACATCAGCTTCCCATTCTTTTAACGTGTGTGGGAGTTGCATGAAAACACTTCAGTGGGTGGCTGACACATTTTTAGTACATTAAGCTCCTGCTTACGTCCTTAATATATTCTATTTTGCAACTAGCTAAAAGATACATGTGTTGCAAAACATTTCCTAACAGAGTTAAATCTGCACACCTGCTCTGCTATTGCGCCTGGTGAATGTAAAATCCAAGGAGTATGTGAGGACATTACTAATGAACAGAAAATCAAGAAGGGAGATTGAGATGTGTTTGCACTCCCTGTTTTGGACAGTWTTTAAACTCTATTTTCTCTCTGAAGGGGTATGTTTTTGGAGCTATTCTGACTGTAGATTACTAAAGGGTGTCATTCAAGTCCTTCTCCAAGCTGATGGGTTTTCTCACCTGCTGGCACATCAAATAACACCTTGACAGCAGCTTCAGACTCTTGTTTTGCTGCTGCATTTTGTTTCTCCAAATCAAAGCCAGACTGGTGCAAATYTAAGGCATAGCTGAAGTCCCCTCTCCTCGAGCTGTGCTCCAGCTTCCTGCAGATTCTGCTAAATTGTTTACTGGTCTTTTATTTTAGGGCCAAGTGACCTGCAAGTCATCTGCTCCTCAACTTCAGACCATCACCTAGAAACAATTAATTATTTGTAGCTGGAGATCAGTGTGTCTTTGGACATTCCACTCAAAGCCAGGAATTCTTGACCATTGGCCTTAATTTTTGTTTTCCCTTATCAACATTAACAGCCTGGTTTTAGTGCTTAGATTTGCTGTGGAGATAGGTGTGCTCAGAACTAGTGCTGGCTTTCAGATATTTAATTCTGCCTCTCCATGTTTGGGCAGTAGATGCCTATGAGCAGATCTCTTTCCAGCAGTGAAACCAACTGAAGAGCCAAAACTATCGCTGCCATTTACTCAATGGATTCTCTCAGATACAAGGCAAAGGGGCTGTAGCAAAATACTGTAATTCAACACCACCATCCTGAAATAGGTGCTTGTATCCTCCAGGCTTTGGGCCGTAGAAGTGGATAATTTTTTATTGTATGAGTCTTAGTCTGCTAACAATCCTTACATTTGTACCCTCAGTGTTATCTCTGACCTTTAGTCCATCTCTCCCCAAACTAGACACATAAAATTCCTACTTGCACAGCCACTTGCTTTCAGCTGCCATCCCAGAATATTCCTCACTCTGCTGATATCTCCAAAGCATTTTTACTAAAGTGATTTCCTATTCATTTTAAAGGATGTTGCAGCACGGGGACTGGACCTGCCTCAAGTTACGTGGATCGTRCAGGTGGGTTTGCTCTGTGTCTGTGTGTTAAGTGCAGCCTGGCTCAGATGAAATCCCTTCTCAGTCCTCCTGCAGTTGGTCCTGGTGCTGATGCCTACAGGTGTGGGAGAYCTACAAGTTCCTGACTGCAGGACTGGGATTCTGGGTTTTGCTGGGATACAGCATTGCTACCTTTTGATCTGTTTTTAATCATTTCAACATTACCACTGGCTGGCATGAAACACCCTCCATTTCCCCACCCAAGAAWCCMAATCTTGTGAAATCCTGSCCAYCTCCTCCAGTTTTTTTCTGTTTTYCTGAGCTTGCTGGGGAGGCAGTTCYATGAGGAGTTTAAGTGCTTTCCTGATGTTGRACACTGAGTAGCCCAGTAGTGTCAGTGCAGTAACCTGAGTGTTTCCAGTGAGGCTTGGCTGGGTTGGGGCTGGGTAGCTGGAGGCATCCASCTTCCAGTAGAACTGCATGGCTCAGATTTTCCCTGAAAAAAAAGCCCAGCAAAAACTCACACTGCTGCATTGCTGTTGACAGAAATATAGTCTTAGGGGAAAAAAAATAGAAACTAAGGAAGATGGATTGAACCTTAAAAATAGCAGCCTGTCGTTTCAAAGAGGAGGCTGAGAGCATGAGGCAGATTTCATTTCTATAAAAGATTTATAATTAAAAAAAGGTTAGTTGAATTGAGGAAAAACTGATCCAGAGATTCACATGTATCARGCGACACCTGGGTGGAAGGAACAGGGCACAGAGCCTCAACAAAGCTTTTTAATTTCTACCTCATCCCTTCAGGTAACAAATTTGATTTGATTTTTGTGTTTTTTTAAAAAAAGGAATGATTTTGTAGCAGCCAGCTAGTCAGAGTAGGCTGTGGAAGTGAAGTCTTTAATTCCCAGATCTGTATATTAATATAATTTAACCAAAGATATAGTTGCCAGTGTTAGAACGCAGTGCAAATTACCTAAAGCCCTGGGAGACTTCTGTGTGTCCAGAAGGCGAAATCTCAGCTGTCCTGAGAGCTGTGTCCAAGAGCAAGGACCTGCAGGGAGCAATTAGATTGCTCACAGCATCTTACTCACACCTCTAGCCAGTAGAAACTTTGCCAGAGGGCACAGGTATAAACACTAGAGTGGGCTTTGGTTGTTGGGTTTTTTCCAGTTAAACTGCTGAGGGCTCATTTCTGAGCACTATCTCTGTGTATGTTCATTTTTTCCAGGAAAGAGAGGAGGGGGGGAAGAATAGGRGGAGGTTAAAGGGAGGGAAATGTGTCACCCTTTATCAGATCTTGCAAATGGCCGGGCAGTTTTGATTCCCAGTGAAGTAAATGAGAGGTATTGCTGTATTTGGGGGGTCTTTAAGGAGCATTTTTATGGTGCAGGGGAAGACAGTTGCTCTGTGTATCACAGACTGCTGAAAGCGCTCCTCCTCTCCCTTAGATTTATTCTACCCTGTAACCAGCTATGATTTGCTTTAATCCAAACAAAGCAATTTAGCCCAACTCCAAACTGGCATCAGTTGTTTTTTATTTGGTGTCTTTTCTCCCAAATGCAGAGCAGGCAGCTCCCCACTCCATACGGGCAGTCTTGGGCAATCTTTGGTGTGAGATGTGATTAGATTCGATTTTTTCTTTAGGGGAAGCAAACAACTTTCTGACGTGCCTGTATAAAAATCARATGTAAAAGGCAAAGCCAGACACCGAGATGGGGGAAACTGTCCTATTATGTGAAAGTTGGCCGACGTGTCACGTTGACATGTCAAAAATCTGCTGTGGCTGAGGGGGCTGAGCGATGCTGRCGGGGCTGAGGCGCGTTACAAACTCGGGAAGGGCGGCGTGCAGGGTGTGCCTTTCATTGCAGGTGAGCATTCCGGGTGTCTGCTTTATAATTAACACRCTGTTAATTCCTCCTTCCCGAAGTACAACGCTCCTGCTTCACCTGCGGAATACGTGCACCGGATCGGGAGGACGGCGCGCATTGGCTGCCACGGGAACAGCCTGCTCGTCCTGGCGCCTTCGGAGGCGGAATATGTCAGCTTGCTGGCTTCTCACAAGATTAAGTGAGTCAGAAACGCGAACAAAAGTTTCAGCTCATCCTTGCTAATTAACCTTCCGTGGCACTTGCAGCGGGACTGTGGCTCGTGCAGGTTTTAATAAGAATTTATTAATTCTCGTGATCCAGGCCTGGCCCCAGACTAGCAAGAGGAGAAGAGGGAAGTGTGTGAAAATGATCAGCCTGACAGGTTGTGCATGAGTGAGTGTGTGCRGTGAGGGGCAGGGAGGAGGCGATAGTCGGAGATCCTTTGCACTCCATTGTTTTCTCTCTGGCCCTGGGTTCAAATCGTGACGATGTGGAGATCACAAGTCAAACGAGCCTGTCAGATGCTGCCTGGCCATCTGCCTGCATGGCACCATATTGTCAGAGACTGTGCTGGCCCTTCGGGAGAGATCTGGGGGAGAAATTGCTGGGGACCTGCGGGTCGTATCTGGCAGACAATTGACCAAGATGTGTTGTTTAAGTGGCTTGTGACAGGAATAGGAGAGGCTTTTGCAAGTGGGGAGAGCCCACAGTGGTCCTGGAAGGCAAAAAGGGAGGGTGGACTCTGCAGACCAGAGTGGAGTSAGCTTCCAGGCCTGGGAAGGCTCCTCTTACCTGGCTCCAGCCTGAGCTTGGGAGCAGCAGCAAGGAGAGCAAGCCAGGCTCAGGAAGGACCAGCCCAGCGTGCAGTCAGGCTGACACACGATGAGATTTTAGTCCAGCTCTGCTTTCACACTGGTCCTTTTGTAGAAAAACCCCACAACTGGCTGCTCAGCATCACTAGGCAGCATCTCCAGCCTCCTCAGCAGCCAGCTGGGTGTTTGTGCCTCCCCTTGCTCCCTGCTCTGCTGTCTCTGGGCGTTTGAGAACATCAGCAGAGTCCCTTCAGTGTTGTAGCAGTGTTGATGGAGCCCTGTAAACTCATGCACAAATTAGTTCCCTTTTATTTCCTGTGTTTCTGTCGGGTGGAGCTGCTTGCAATCGAATTTGGTTTTGCATCCTTGAAACAAACAAATGTTGGCAGTAAATACAGGCTTATTCTAGGCTGTGAGCCATTTAGTGGTCTAACAAAGAGCCATCCATCATCCCAGGTAACTATCTATTAAGCAGACACCAGCAAGACATGGAAGGCTAAGCTGACAGGGTTTTTTTTCATGTAACAAACAGCACTGACATTTAAAGGTGAAATCCCACATAATTGTGAATTTTTAACTCCGAGTAGAAAGTTCTATTTTTCTATTTTATAATATTTTGGGAGTGTTAGAGGAAGGAGAGGGAAATTTTATTCTTTTTYATTTTAAGTGTTAATGCTTTTATTCAATTTTGTTGGTTTTTAACAAGTTTAAGGAAGTGTCACTCAGGCAGGTAATTACATCTGCTAAGGAGACCTGTTGTTGAGCTGGCCATGATCTTCAGGAATCTTGAAGACTCTGAATAAGCAGGGGGAGGTTTTTGTGAATTTATTTTTCCTTCACTTTCCAGAGCCAGACAACTCTGGGGCTTGCCTTTTCTTATTTGTTTATTTGCTTTGTGTTCTTCACAAAACGTGCTCCCCTGCAGATAAAGGACTAGCCAAAAAGGAGAGTAATTTGCCTTCCTTGACCCCCATCTTCAGAGGGAAGGGAATGAATCTGATGGGCACGGGGGGCACTCGGCCTCTGCCCACACGGATGTGGAGAAGGAGCATGAGGATAGAGCAGGGAGCTGATGAATTACTGAGAAGATGCAGCAAGGCAGCTTGAAGCTCAAGGCAGCAAGTGCCATCAGCACAAATTGCCGTTACCCTTCATAAACAGAGCATTATGGTGATAATCCTGACAATTTAATTCAGTGCGAGGGCGAAAGACAGCGTGTGTTGGACTGTCACCGAGCCTCTTAAGCACTGCTCATTTCTGTTCCTTTACCCTAAGTCTTTGTAGCTTTTGACTTGGTCTGCACAAGTTACTGGAGTTGGCTTTTTTTTTAATTCTTAGCTTAATTTTTCAATCTCTCCGGTTTTTGTCGAGAATGAATGTGTGTTGTGAATTTTTTTTTAAATTGTTGGGTGGGTTTTTTTTTTCCTTTTTTAAATGAAATTCCCGCTGGGTTTATTGAAATGTAAATACTTCATAAAATATGTATTTTGAAGAAGACAAAGCATGAAATGTGTCCCCGCAGCCTTCAGCTGGTGTAAATGAGCARTGCTCTGCTGGTTTACAGGAGATGAGGATCTGACCCAGAGTTTTTTCCTAAACCCCTCCACCCACCCCAGCATGCATGGGAGTAAGTCCAGGAATGTTGAGAGTCGGAAGTAATGAGAGCAGACRTGGCTTTGTTCCTGGATGAAAATCCACTTCGGAATTAGAGATGACTGCCTTTGAAATTGGAAATCGCTCGCAATTAATTTTCACCGGTACCTGAAGCCTCTCCTTGGCTTCCAGTGTGGAAAAGCAGCATTAGCCTTTGCCAAAACGATCTCACTTTGGCTCTGCTGAGATCAGTAATTCCCGTTGGGGCTCAGAAAAGCTGCCTCTCTCTGCAACTTTCTGTTTGGGCTTTGTGTGGCTGGAAGTTGTGGCTGCTCTGCCCAGCTGTAACTGTGGATGTGCAGGCACGTGCACACTCATGTTTTCTCTACATTCCCTCTTTGCTTGTGGTTTTTTTTAAAAAAGGTTAGGCTCCAAAATGTTCTGTCTCCGCTCCAAGCACAACTAACAGATTTCCCTTCAAAGGGAGGAGGCAACGAGCAGAAGAAATGCGAGGTTCACTTTTTTTTTCCCCTTTATGTCTCTTCCAGTCCCTTCAACTGCAATCTCGCAGCGCCTGCCTCGACAGCTATCAGATAATTTCTTTATCTGCTAACGGCTGCCTAACTAATTTATAAAGGAAGAGGCATCACCGTGAAGGCACGAGTCGTTCCCCTCCCTGCTCTGGGGTTGAGTTTTCCCCCCTCCCGGCTCCCTGGCGCTGCTCCCTGCTGGGATCCCAGTTCAGGGATCTGTTGCTGGCGACACGCCAGGAGAGGGGAGGACCCGAGAGGGGGTGACAACTCTGACAAATCAATGTCAAAGGTTTGACATTTTCATTCACGGCGGTGTCAAAKCAACCTTTGCAGGGGGAAGGGGGAGGTCTGCTTTCCTCTTGCTTAAGTGGTTGCCATTTATGTTTTAATTTGCTGTTWTACTTTTCAAAATCAAACAGAGAAACCTTCGGTTGTCGTTTTATGCTCCATTTCCCTTTCTCCCCCATCGCTCCCCCGCCTTTCTCTGCATCCTCAGTGAGGGAATCTGTTTGAGGGGTGGCCCAGCTGCACATGGTGGGGCTGCTCTCCCTTGTAGAGCACTTTATGGCCACTCTGGCCCATCCCTTCCAGGCTGGATGGCTGCTCCTCTGGACCATCTCTTTTCCTTTCCTCATGCTGTGGTGCTGAGCTAGCTGAGGTTGAAAAGGCACATTGCAAAAGTGAAGGTATTTGTTGCTTTAACTGGGGAGCAGGGGAGGATCACTATGTCCTGTCACAGTATGGCAAACATTCATCCATTCCTGCTAGCCAGGTGTTGGAGAGCTTTGAGAGAAAAAAAAAAAAGGTGATGTCCTTCTTGTAATAATTCCTTTATGTACTTTACAAATTTAAAAGTATCAGCAATGCTTCCTTCAGAAACCACAGGCCTCTTTCTCATCATCTGAGATGCAGGAATCTTAGAACTGTTGGGCCCCARAGATTTCTCTCTTCCTTAGATTGGTTTAATCCCAAGTGAACTCCTTGGCTTTTTTTTTTTTTTAGATGACCTTTGCCCATTTTGAAAGTTTGGGCCCACAAAATCAGCTTTTTCTAATCTGAGCAATTCCCTTGGAAATGGGACCCAGTTTGGATGCAGCTGTAATATTAATGGCCTGGAGCTGCACAGCTGTTCCTGTGCTGTCACCTGGGGTGTGTGTGCCCCTTAAGACAGTGTTAAAGAGGACAAAGAATTTCTGGTCTCCTGTAAATGCACCTTTAAGCAGGACTGCTCCCTTGGAAATGAAGCAGGTTTGTAAGCATTTCCATATCTGGGCCATAGCAGGGCCCAGCAGTGTCTTGTGAGCAGGACTGGAGAATAAATCATCTGGTTGAGCCTACAGGAGGAATGTGAGTCGACAGAATGAAAATAAATGCCCAGTGTGAAGCCTGGCTAGGACAGCTGACTGTGGCTCCTGTATTTAAAAAAAATGCTGCAGGGTCCCTGATGGGCTGGGCTTTGGCTTTGCACTTCAGCTGAGAGGGAAGGTGAGTTCTCAGAGCAGGGAAGGAAATCAAACTGTGTATGTGGTGTCAGAGGTGGTTTTTGAGGCTATAAATGAGTTGAAGGGGGAATTTGTCCATCGAGAAGATTCTCTGAGCTTTGACCCAAGCAAGCTTGCAGGGAGTTGGAATCATGTATGGTCCTGAGAGAGAGAAAGAGTGATGATGTGACCAGAGGGATGGAAACTGCAGGAGAATTGGCTTGATAGGATAAGTTCCTTGGGATTTTGTKGTTACCCTCTGAGCCTGAGTCGCTGTGAGAGGAAGGAGCTGTGTCTTTGCACAGCTTTAGCTTTATCTCTTCGGTTTTGTGAGTGTGGTCACTGACATGGTGGAAACAAATGTGTGTAAACATGAAAGCTTCATCCTTTCAGTGAGGTTTGAGTGCTGTCTCTCATTCCAGAGACTCTGGAAGCTAAATTGGAGGAGCCAAGATGTAGCAGAAGTAGCAAACAAAGTGGAGCAYGTGTTTCCAGCCTGTGTGTGCCTCAATCACACTCTCACAGCTGCACAACCAGCTTTGTGCTCCCTGACCATGGCAGGGTGTACAATGAAATGTTGGGCAGCTCCTGGGGTCAAGGTGGAGGTTGCAGATCTTATTCTTCATAGTTACAAAGCAAATTTACAAGAAGTATTCATGTTGTGAGCTGCTTCAACTCTCCTGAGTTTCTTTTAGTGGGATGAACCCAGGTGGTTCTGAATTGTCTTGGTGCTTCTCAGTGTGAAGAAAGAAAAAGTATGAAAATAATGGAAGTGTAATCCAATTTATTTCTTTAATCTGTTCCTCCTGGTTGAGAGCCAAGGAGACTTTAAGTGAATGGAAAGTCCACCCCCAGTTATTTTGATGCTCTCCTAGAACTGGTGTGTGTGTTGGTGACTTAATACAGTGACAGAATTGTGGGTGAAACTCTGTCTCTGTGCCACTGAGAGCACGGGTTTGGATTTTACAGCAGTTCCACTTTCAGGGTTGCTGAGGGAGTGTCTGGGCTAACACCTCGTGTATTTCAGGAATAAATTCTTAAGATGAACWGTGAATCTCAGTCATTTTGCTCTCCATTGCCAGTCTATGGCTCATTCCATGCTGTGTTTCAAAGTAGGAGAAATGGTAATTTTTTGTCTTTGATACTTCAGTGTTTCAGAGCTRAAGATGGAGAAGGTGTTGGCCAGCCTGATGAAAGATGATCGCTTCAAGGTGCACAGACCAGGGAGCAAGGTGAGTTATTCTGCTGGTTTGGAATTGCTCCAGTTTTCATTTGCCTCTCAAATATCACAAGTATTCCTGCCTTAGCATCTGTCTTTGCATCCATTGTGTCAGGTGGTAAATAATTATAGAATATATTTAATTATATCACAATTTTGCAGTCTTTTGTTGTTCCCAAAAAGCAGTTGCTTGCCAAGTCTTTAGCAAATACCTTTGTAACAAGCGAGGAAAATTCCTGTATGCAAAATCTTCGGGTTTGTTCTGCACATTGTTTCTGTTTTTCCTGTGTTTCCTGCACTAAAGTACTGTTGGACACAACAAATGGCTGTAAACTTCTCTGAAGAAACGAGGAAAATGCATTTGGTGATGTCTTACATAGAGTTTTTCATCATCTGTGTTTACTTGGAGCCTAAACCAAAGCTCCCTGGGTCGACAGGCACCTTTTTATTGACTTGGGCGAGCTTTGGGTCTGCCTTCAAGTCTCTAATTCACGGAATTCACTCATTTGCAATCTGTGTCTCGGGCGTTGCTGCACTCTGGCAAATTAAATCCTGCAAAGAARCTGCAGTTTGAATGGGAGTCAAGAATGTGTCAAGCATGATGCAGCACACACTGGTTTTTCCCTCTTGTTGCTGTTTTGCTGCTCGTGCTTTTGTCACCCCGTGGCTGAGGCTCCTTGCTGCYGGTGCTGGCTGTTGGGAGCCGTGGTGTTCCTGCTGAACACGCTCCTGAAAGATGTTCAGTGCTCCTGCACCTCTCAGAAAACCAGAGCTGAGCTCAGCTCAGGTGCTGAGGTTTAAATCTCATCCCCATCACTGTTTTTGGCTGAAATCAGCCTGTAATGGCTGTGTTTTAARTGGATCATGCCTGGGGTGTGACCTCTTAACAAAGTTGAATTGTGCTTTGCTAGTGCAGAAATTATTTTAAATAGTTCTGTGTATAAATGCTTTCCTTTTCTCCCAGATATAGGGCGGGTAAATTCAGATTTTTGAAGACTTTTTCAATAATTACATTTATGTAGAAATTGTACTTTAAATCTGTTGCTGGCATGGATCAGAATATTCTCTGTTCCAGACTGGGGGATAAATGTTATTTCATAGCAAGTGGGCAAAAAAGAGAACATAGTTTCTTCTAGAAAACAATGATTTAAGTTTTGAAAAGTCACAGGAGAAAATGCCTTTTTAGCAACAAAAAGCTAACCAAGCCTGTTTGCTACCAGAACTGATTAAATTGGTATTTCTACCATACTTTCAAATTGTCAAATGCTCTACAAATTTAAGCACAGAATTTTTTCAATACTCTTGTTTTGTCTTTCTCCCTTTACTGGCACAAAGCTTTAAGTCCAGCCCCTCTTTGAAAGGAGCTGTTGCCCTGGTTTGGCTCAGCAGTGCTGCTGGCCAGGCCCTGCCATGTTCCAAGAGGARCTTGCACAGAAGGACTTGGTTCCTTTTGCTTTCAAAGGTGGGATTAAATTCCTCTTTTCCCTCTGACATCAAAGCAAGTGGGATTTTGCTGTTGACTTCACTGAAGCTGAGGTACTTCCACTGTGGCTGTGGGATGGTTTTAATCTCCTGCAGGAACTTAGAAATACAGAATAAAYAGTTTTTGTGGGATTCAAACTGAAAGGATTGGGACTTAAGAATAAGGATAAAGTTTCTCCTCATGGGAAAAATGGGGGTTTTTTTCACCCCCATTTAATGGGGATGAAATTACAGCATTTCTGTCAATATGAAACAGACTCCTTCCTTCAGGAATTACTTGAGAAATGTATTAAATGCAATTAAGGGTTCATTCTGTTTGTTAGCTCCATGTTTTATATTGCCATGGAGGCTCTGAGTGGTCAGCTCAGGAGCTGCAGGATCATTTCCCAAGCTTTCAGGAGGGTTCATCTCTATTAAACTCCTTAAATTTGCCACGTGGACAGTACAGCAAGCTGGGAACACAGTGGGACATTTCATGGGACAGAGAGGATTTGGGGAGGTGTCAGGAGGAGCCTGATCCCGTTGGGATTCTGGCATTGGAGGGAGGTTCAGCTCTGCTGCTCTGCTCTCCGTGCTCTGAGCCATGTGTATCTCACACAGGAACCTCATTATGATGCTCTTCAGTTCTCATTGCCTCAACTCAAGTCCATTATAAGTACCACGTTGGAACATGTATTTTTTGGGCTTCTGTGTGCAGCCAGGGAGCGAGCTGAAGTGCCTGTAAAATGTATATTTTATATTTAGGTATATGAAATATATATGTGGCTATGTCTGGGCGTGTGAATGTTCACCTGCCTACAAAGAGAATAAATTTGATCTTTCAACTTTTATGGAGGGGGGCAAGGGGGACTTGGTGAGTTCTAGAGAAGGTGTGTGGAGGTTAGTAAAAAGTTGTTATTAAAACAAAATCCTTCATTTTGTTTTGAAGTATAATGGAAGCAGGAGATGTTACAGCCAGGCTTTTTGGTGGGTTTTCCCCATCTTTTTCTTTTTTTTTCTCTGGTTTCTTTCCTGTTTTAAGAACGAAACTTTTCTACCTCAGTCTAGTCTTACTGTATTTCAATATTTTTTTCTTTTCATTATCGTATTCTCTTAATGAAATCAGAAGTTTTCAGTACTTATCCCARCCCCTCAAACCTAAAACCTGCCATTTTTATCACTGGAAGTTTCCTTCTTCTGACAGAAATACATGTGTCTTTTCCTGGTGGAGTTGGCATTTTTGGGAGTTCCCCTGATGTCTCAAACTGTTTAAACAACGTTGCATCCCGACTTTTTTTTCCCATGCATTTCTTCTTTTAGTTTATAAATATTGTCCACAATATTTATAAATATTGGGATCTGCCAGGACAGGCTTTTCAGGAATCACAAGGTAGAAAAAGTTCTCCTGTCCCACTGTTCTCCATGAGGACAGTGGTGCTATTTATTTAACAGATGGAGCAAATTCAGGTGGGGAGCAGATCAAGGAAACCTCTGGGGTAGACTTTTATCTTTGGGGCCTTGGAAAAATGTGTAAGGTCTCAAATTAATTGTCCTGCTCAACCAAACCAGGATTAAAGCTTGTTTGTGTGAGTAAAGCATGTGGAATGGTTTCCATGCCCTTCCAGTAGCATTGGTTTATTTGATCTGTCCACACACTCCATCATGGGTGGGTTTAGTTTTCACAGTTTGCCTCTGAGTCAGTTTTAAATTTAGATTTTATTGGGGTGGGGTTGGGTTTTTTTTTGGTTTTTTTTTTTTATTGTTTTTTAGATGAATCTCTCTAGAAGACAGGAATCAAACACAGGTTTATTTCATGCCCATTAGGGTGCAGTTTTAAAATGAGATCTGTCTCAAGGGTCTGAAGGGGATAAAAGACAAGGTRGAGATGGGAGGAGGGGAGAAGCTGTTTTCTGAGGACATTATGTTTCCTGCCATTTGCTTTTTTTTTTTTATTTATATCTCTTGGACTGACCTCACACTTTGGAAATTATGCACCTAGTTTTTTTATCCCTCATTTTTGTCTTACTTTTTTTTTTTTTTTTTTTTTTCCCCCAGCACCAGCAAGAAGAGATGCCTCATTTTGAAACCTAAAGGGGGGAATAAGAAAAGTCCTTTGTAATATATTGCCATATTATCACTAAATCCCCTGACAGTTGTGACACAGAAGCAAGTCACCTGTCACTTAAGCTTGAGGTCTCTTTAATTTTCTCCTGGAATTCGCACCAGGCTGTCTTTAATTTGAGGCCTTTATTGGAATTCTGAAACCTTTCTGCCTCCCCGGTGCTCAGATCTATTCTGAGTGCTGTTACAGAATGTATACAATAACCAACACAGGGATTCAGAGGGGGCTGAAGCACTGTTTATTTAACACTCTGGAGGGATTTTCGTGCTTATTCGGTCCTGGCTACCCGGCTTTCAATATCGCTTTGACAACCGTTATGCCCTTCTCATTAATTTTAAACAGTTAAAACACAGGAAAAAGAGAAAAAGTTTTCATTATTAAAGTGCTTTACTTTTTAATAACAGAGGATTCTGTCCGCCAGGGGAAAGGGCAAACCTCACTAATTTCACATTCATATTAAAAAGCGCTGGGAAGGTGACACTTGGTGCTGCCAGGAGGCTTAACAAAAGAAAAGTGCTGGGGGCCGGGAGGAGCAGGCGGGGCCAGAAAGTTTTGTGTTTCACGGCAGTGGAAACTTGGTGGTGATGGCAAGGAGTGGCCACTTCAGGGAGGCAGCTCCACTTGGGGTCATGAAACCTCTGCAGAAGCTCCTGGGCTGGGGATGGTCCCAACTGATGGACAGGGACAGTGAAATCAAACTGAAAGGAGTGAATAGGGAAGGGCAGCAGAGCTGGGGAAKGGTCCAGAGAGTGAATCATGTGAGGATTCTGAGGGTGACTGAGCCTGGAGAAAAGGAGATTCAGGGAGGAGAACTCCCAGACAGAAGAGGGCAGCCAGGTGAGGGTTGGGATCTGCTCCCAGGGAACAAGGACCGGAGGAGAGGACACAGCCTCAAGCTGTGCCAGGGGAGGCTCAGGTTGGAAGAATTTCTTCACTGCAGGAGTGGTCAGGAACTGGAATGGGCTGCCCAGGGAGGTGGTGGAGTCATCATCCCTGGAGGTGCTCAGGAGAAACTGGACGTGGTTTGGCCGGCAAAGTGATGATGAGTCAAAGACTGAGCTCAATCATCCTGGAGGCCTTTTCCAACCTAAATGATGCAGTGGTGTGAGATGGGTTGTGAACCTTTCTGGAGTGGATTGGGAGACAGCAACAGCACAGACCAGAAATCCTATGTTAGAATAGCCAGGTTGTCTTTGGAGATGCAGGTGGACAGTGAGTCCAGGCAGTGAGCAAGCAGGAGCTCCAGCCCCAGGTGGGTTTGCTTTGGTGAGGAGTAACCCAGTGGCTGGAAGCTGTGGGATCTGAGCTCCAGAGAGGGCATTTGGACCATGTGTCTCTGGGCACATTTGCTGTTGGGTCCAGAGTGGCACATCTGGAACATCCTGTGTCAGGTGTCAGCAGCTCCCCTGATCCCTGGGGTTTGTGGTGTCACTGGGATGTGGCTCCTCTGGACTGGYAGCAGTGCAGAGGAGAGAGGGGTTTGCAGCATTAGCATGCAGAGCTGCCAGAGCAGAACAACAGGATGCTGCCTTGGCACAGCCTGCTCCAGAATCCCAGCAGCTGGGTGTTTGTATTCCAGCAGCCCTGACCAGTAGCAGGTTGCTGCCCTGGATCTGGCACTCTCACACTTGGATGCTGGTTCCTGTCTGAGAGCACTGGAGAGCTGAGGCCCTTTTCTGGGAGAGGTGCACATCCATGGATGCTTGGCTTTGCACTTTGCTGTCAACTTCCCATCAAAAATCCACTTTCTGGTCCTCATTTCCTTTCTCTGCCCAGATCCCTCAGAGAGGAGAGAGCCTCTCTTCTCCTCCCAGTAACAGCTTGCTCCCAGGAATGTTTGTTTCCATTTCCTGAGCTGCATCCTACAGTCTGATCCCAGGAAAGCTGGAACACGTGCAAAATTGCCCTTTTGGCCTGAGGAAGTTTATTCTGTCGTGCCTTTGGTGCGAGGGGCTTGTCCTGCTCTAGAGGAGCCAAGAGATGGCAGTTCCAGTTAAACAGGACTTGTTGACAATGAGAAAACTTCATGGAGAAATCCATGATGGAATTMATGGGAAGCTCATTTGGCTGCTTTTGTTCACAGATGATGAATTTGGTCTCTTCTCTGGAGCTTGGGGGTGAATGTGGATCCCATGGATCTCCTGCTCTGGGTTTTTTGGGGAAGTGCACAGGGGAACTTTCAGCATCACTCTGAACCTGTTGGTATAGGGTCTGGGGGGAGTTATCCCGAATAATTCCAATGGAAATAAGCAATGGAATCTGGCCTATTGAACCTGGAAGCAAAAAAAAAAATGGAAAGAGGAAAAAAAGCAAGGGAAAAAGATACGTGATAGATGTTAGAAAACACAAAATTAAAACTGATTTGTTCTCCCCACCACACGGCGCTCACTGGCTGCTCTGACTTTAACATCTTTATCTGGATTTTTTTTTTTCCTCTAGTAATATTGAGAGGATTACCTTTGTTGGCCCCTGGGTAGTTGCTGTGTGATTTTACTGTTATTAAATCTATTGTAAACTGCTTCATTATTCCTGACTCAAATTCTCTCTTTCCTCTAATCCTCCCGCCTCCCTGGTAGAAATCCCGTGGCAAGAACCCTCAGGAAGTCCGGGAGAGGGCCACAGTCCTGCAGACAAAATTTGAAAATCACGTCCACTCCAGCGAGGGGACCGTCCGTTGGGCAAAGAAAGGTCAGTGTTTTTCCTTCCACTTATCCCACAAAGGTTCTGATTGTGCTGCTGAGGTTTTCTTCTGGGGCAGAGCATCAGGGAAAAGGCCTGGAAGAAACATTTTGGGGCCGTTGGGCTCTGCAGGGGGTTGAGGAGGGCCCAGAAGGCTTTGTGGTGATATTAAATGGTAATTTCTGGCGTTCCCGTATTAGGTGCAAATGAGATTTAATCTTGGCTTTCAGTGGGATTCATATCCAAGGGCTGTGACCCAATCACAGGAGCGAATGGGTTGTGTTGTGCTGGGAAGGGGATGGGTGACTTTCTCCGCCACATCCTGCTGCAGTTCCTGTCAGATTCCTTCAATTCACACCAGGGGTGAATTGAAGCCTGAAAGACAGGATGCACTGGGAGCAGCTCTGACCAGGAAAGGATCTTGGGCTGGAGTTTGTTGTGTGGGATGGGAGATAAATGAGAGAGGGGGCAACAACTCAAAAAGGGATGGATTTAATAATTGTAGCTGTGTAAATCTGGGATTTGATCTGCCAGCTTTCCCAAGCAGAATTCACAGCTGTTGTCACTGAGCATTGTGAGAGACTCTTCTTCCTCTCAGTTTGGAAAATCCAGAGGAAGACAGATTTGGGAGAAAGATTAAAAATTTGCTGGGGATGTGGTAGGAAAAGAAACTAAACTGTCTCCTGAGAGAAGCCACAAAGGTGGTGCATTGTAGGCACTGGGGGAAGTCAGGCCCCAGAGCTTCTAGGCAATAACTTGGAATTTGGCTATGAATTAATTGACACAAGTCCACAAAATCCAAACTCTTTATGCAAGAGCCAAATGGCTTGCTTTATGCCATTCTTGCTTACAATATTTAGGACTTGAGCCTTTTTTTGAATCTTGTCTTCCCACATCTCCTTCCTGATTGTTTTCATTTTTGCCTCATTTCTGTGAGCCAGGTCCTGCTCTCTAAGCTCGTGTAGAAGTCCTTTTATTTTAGCTTTGCAGCATTTCCAGTTGAAGGGGTCCTGGTGAGGTGAATTTTAATGGTCTGCATCATTTCTGTTTCCTATTCTGTGTACCTGCTGTGTGCATGTGCATACAGGTGTGGGACAGGTGCTCAACTTCTGAATTCACCTTCTGAGGGGTCCAAAACCAGATGGGGARATTGCCCTTTGAGCTGTACAATATCTGGAGAAACTGGAGAAGGGAAGGCTGTTCTCCAGTCCAAGATAAAAGTTCAGCTTGAAAATTATGTGGAATTTTGAGAAGTGATTGTTCAAGGGGTCAAAGGTGCTGTTTTTCCTGAAAGTTGTGCTCATTTCTTAGCTGATGACACAGCAGAGCAAGCAGAGCACCTCCTGTGACTACCTGCTTACCCCAAATTATTCTGCATACTTTTAAAGAAGCRTGGCTGTATTGAGGGGCAAAGAATTGAAATTCTGCAGTTTCACTCTTTGCTCTCCCCCCTGCCACTGCACATCCCTGGGCTGCAATCTCACCCCACCTCCAGCAGCTGCAGAGCTGATTTCAGTTCCTTGGAGTTTTGAAACACCTTCCTCCTGCAGTGAAAGTGTTGGACTCGCTACAGAAGCAGCTTGCACCCATTTTCAGGTGTGTGGGGTAATTACTTTTAAAGCTGCTCTTTTAAWCCCACAATCTCAAAGCACTGACATGATTGTAATCCTTCATTCTGCACGGATGGGATGATTTCTTGTACCGTGGGATTTCTTGTACCCCATGCAAACTTCTCACCTGAAATGCCTGTGGCAGGAACAAGCAGGGAATAACTCTGGTCACACCTAGAAAACCTCTCTGGCTYCTCTCTGCACGGTGTCACTGTGCACACACCCACCCACACACACTTGTTGCTGACCTCAGCATGAATAACTCCTTTAGCCACAGAAGAGAAGCACAAAAAATACATCAGGAAATGCTGAAATGTTGTGCATCCCATTTATCTTGTAAAGGAGCACTCCACCTCTTTTTCCAACTCTGCTATCTACATATGCAAATTTTCCACTGCTGAGTGGCTTCCATAAGCCCCCTCTTCCTCCCCTCTGAGCCAGGCATCATGAATAATTAACATGGCAGCTGGCTTTTGCTTTCATGGCAGACAATCAATTGGAAACTGTGCCAGAGATGCATTTGTTTCTCTCTCTTTTTCTGTTTTTCCCCGTTTTCTGACYTAGTCAATGTTAATAAGCAGTGTTTGCACTGCAGCCTGCTTTCAAAAGGCGAGTGGCTCCCTGCCCGCTCTCCCCTTCTGGCTCTGGGTCCCGTGTTTTTCAGGCTCAAATCAAATGGTTCAGGGAAGGTGCTGCCCTTCAAACTTGATTGACTGATCAGCAGTGAGATGGGTGRGAGGAGGGGGCTGGCTGGGCCCTGCTACCTGAAGGATGAACCTCATCAAGAGTGGAGCCCCTTTTGGGAAGCAGAGGATGCTCATCCCAAGGCTTGCACAGTGATAGGTGCTTCATTTCAGAGCTGTGGGGACAAACAGAGCTCAGGAGGGTGATCCTTTGTGCCCCTGGAGTTCCAGAGAGGGTAAGGCAGCAAACCCTGCATTCCTGCTCCTCGTTTCCCAGGTTTACAGCCAGCAGTGGAGCATTTTGCCTCCTCCTTTCAATCCCCAGTGTGCAAAGGGACAGCAGAGTCACAGGAGCTGTGACACGATGCTCATGTCTGTGGTGGTTTTGGTGCATCCTTCCCTCCTGCTCTCACCTGCCCTGGCAGTGCCTCCCAGTTCATCCAGCTGTGCCCTGGGGTAGTGCTGGGAGCTGGCTGCCAGTTTGTGTCACCAGTCTCCCTTTGATACCTCATTACCCTCTTGTYCCTTGTTTAAAATAACAACAAACCAACCCATCTAACCTCCATCATACCTAGAACACGCTGGGTYTTTCTTTTTTCCATTGACTTTCAACACTGAAATTTTCTGTAGAAAAACAGGGATGCAAAGATGCAAAGGACCAATCTAAATCCTCTTGTCTTCCATGAGCACAAGTCCAAATCCCACTCCAAGCCAGTACACCTTACCTTAGACTTGTGTTGTGGCAAAAACTCTCAACAGCTCTGGCAGTTTGTTCCTGTGGCATCAAGATGGGGAACCCTTTACATGAGTTATGGCCTGACCAGCACTGTTACCAGTCTTTGTGAGTTGTTTTCRTAAAGCTCTGTCTCTTGGATCACAAAATCATAAAAGAATTTCAACTTTAAAGAAAAAAAAAAMCAATAAAGCTTTCAGTATCTGGCCACTCTAATTGCACATAAAAGCCAGAAAACATGGCTCTGGCAACACTGAGAGGTCTAAAGACCTGACAGTAAAGATTTTAAGAAGAATCACATCCAAAAAGGTCTTCATTTCAGTCTCATGGGTGCTGTAATGAACATCTCAGCTCTGAGCTGCTCGGAGGTGAGGCAGTTTCCTGAGCTGGGGTTTTGACCTGCAGGTCCAGCCAGGTTCTCAGTTCAGCTCTGGGTTAGTGCCTTGCAGCTCTCCCTGGTCTTGTGTGCTCTGACTCAAAGCTGGAGCTGGCAGATGTCTGTCAGGACTTTGGGAAGAGGGGAGCCTTTGACACCTTGATTCTCTAACTCTGATCTGGGGAGTTCTTCCCAGCATCTTTTCCTCTCAGCCTTCATAATAACAGGATCTTTAGTATCAGCCATTTCCAGTGCTGTGAGGCAGACAGCTATATTAGCTCCAAGGGGACTGAATTCAAAGTGGGAGCAAGTTCCTATTGTTCCCTTTGAAGAGTTACACCTCCTCATAKGTGAATTTGACCAATAACTTTATGAAAAAAAAAAGCAGCAGAGTGGGGTTTTTGAGAGCATTTGAGCTGGTTTATAAGCCCTCAGTAGGATGGCCTTCAGACGAGACACTGAGACAGTATTTGGAATTTAGCATTCTCTTTTTTGGGAAAACACAGGTCTCTGGGTGCTCAGAAGCCTCTAAAAGAGCAGCATTGTGAAATTGGGAAGAAGGTGCAAAAAACTCAATCTTTTCTTCTCATCGATTGGGAAAAGGAGTTCGCTTTGCTCAGTAAACAGAGCTTTGATGGATTCCCTGGGTCCTTCCAGGAGCTGATCTGCTAAAATGACATTTTTATTACTGTTCATAAACTCCAATCTCCGGCTGCTGCCAAGAGATTAGACATAAGCTGTGGGCAAACTTGCTGGTCCAGTGGCTCAACGGGCAAGGGCAGGAGAGGTGAGAGTTTAGAGGCGGCTGCTGTTGGAAAAGAGAGGGAGAGAAAGATCCAGCCAGTGGTTTGGACTGAGGGCTGGGGGGACATGGGAGGTTTTACCAGCAGAGAAGCAGCAGGGGATTGAAAGGAGGCATTTTGTGAGTTTCCCTGCTGAAGTCCCTCTATTCCCAGAGCAGGGGCCAGCCCGGGTGTAGCTAACATTCCGAGGAGCAGAGGTAGCGCTCATATTAGTGGATGATTGTCTTTAGAGCAATGAGCCCTGAGGGAAGGGCATTACAGGAATATAAAGATGGGAAGGGAAATTTGCACACAGTTCTATTATTTTTCCCTTTTGAGAAGGTGAGCTCTGTTCTCAGTGTGCTGATGAGTCAGGAAATCCATCCGGCTCTCAGATATTTATAAGGGACTAGCTGGTAACTGGTGAAAAATGCATGGACTACTGGGACTCTAATATCAGAGGAGTCCTCCTGTGCCATCTCCATGCTTCTCWTTCTTGGTCCCTGCATCTCTGTTCCCATTCTGCTGCCACTCAGTGTCAATGACACTTGAGAGACTCTACAAACATCACTTTTTGTGGCTGTAGGGGCAGCCTTGCTGGAGTCAAACCCAGTGCGGTTTGGTGGARCTTTATTTCAGTTCCTGACACCTCCCCAGCACCAACTTTCCCCTTTTGGGRTTGTACCAGTACTATGCAACCTTCACAGATTTTCAACATGCCAACCTTTTCTGCCAGCTGCTGACCAGAAGGTGTCCCAAAGGGGCAGCCCAATGTCCTGTCAGCTGGAACAGCTGAATCTTTAAGTGTGTATATATATATACATATATATGTAAATGCAGCAGCAAACAGAATTCACTGGGTGTTTTTTTTCTTCCCCTCAGCACTGCAGTCATTCCTTTGTGCCTATACCACCTATCCCAAGAACCTCAAGCACATCTTCCACATCAAATCTCTCCACCTGGGTCATGTGGCCAAGAGCTTTGGGCTGAGAGATGCCCCCCAGAACCTGACTGCCCTTCCAGCTGCAGGCTCAAAGAAGAAAACCAAACCAAGGCCAAAAAGGTAGGTCAGCCTGATGTTCCTGAGCCAAGGAACACTGGGTGATATGCTGTGGTGTGCTGTGCTCCAGGAATCGAGTGTGAATCAAAAAGCAGATCATGATCCTTTTACAAAGTAGTTCTGTTAAATGCAATTCTGTGGGATCTCTCCAAGGAAGGGAGAGCAAACCCAGAGTTGCACCTCTATCCCTATCTATGCACAGGGCTGCTCTGGGTACTCCTRTTCTGTGTAAGGAATTGGAAACTCYCTGGTGGTGCTGGAGGAGYCCTGAGCCCTTTCTGTGCTTGGAAAGGAGCTGAAGGTGCTCAGTACATCTGAGCTGGTTCCCCAGGACAGATAACCCTCTCTTTGGAGATCACAGTGTGAAGGACATGCTCTCTTCCCTAGTGCAGTGGCAGAACACAAACCTCTGCCTTTCAGGTAAAATCACTGCAATAATTCAAAGCAGGAAAATATTTTTTCTTTATCAGCATCAGTTGTGACTCTTTCCATGTAGGTTAGCAAACCTTAGCCATGCAATTAAAGCACTAATCCACATAATTGTTCCACGCCTGGGCACTTTCCTTGCACATGCACCTATCTTGTGAAAAGAAAAAAATGCAAGGGGAAGGGATTTTAAAATARAAAGTTGGAGCCTGCATTGTCCTGCTTTCAGAAGCCACCAGGGACAGGCCACTGCTCTGCCTCCTGCTCCAGCTGACCCTCCTCAGCAGATGGGCAACAGGATGGGAATGCCCCTGTGAGCAGGGGATTTAACGGAGCTTTATTTCGGGAAGAATAGCCTGATTAGCTGATAAAGAGCATGTAAGATGGTATGGGGTGGGCTTTGATGTCTTGCTGGCCCAGCAGGGTGTCAAGCTATGACTGACAGTAGCGTGTCACAGGATTACTTGGCCCGTAACAATGCCTCTCTCTGTTCCTGTGATGTTGCTACTCTGTTAGAGCTACTTTTTCCCTTGTTACAAACCTCTTTTAGTCGGGGRTTCCTCCTCCCCAAGTCTTCATCCCATTATTGCACAGACAAGCTCGGGATACAGTAGGTATTTACACGCAGRACGTGTGGGGTTGGGGGATGTGGAGGTGTTGGAACAAATGGTCTGAGAGTGATCTGAGAGCTCATTTGCACGTGGATCATATAATTACAGCTCAAGGAAAGTGGGCAGACTTTGCACAGCTCTGTCACGGCTCAACTCCAGATTTCAAATCCGGGAGCATCTGGAAAGTTAAGACCCTGCAAAAAATAGCCAGAGTTGGGGTGTGCAACAATTGTTCCTGCCTGTGAGACTCACTTCTCATCAGCTCTCTGTGTGTGTGCTTAATAAAATAAATAAATAAAGAGAGAGAGGGGATGTATTAGTATTTATAGGATAGTTTAGAGAAAGTGAATTTAGATTCAAATTCTGTCTCTACTTGCATAAATCCAAGATAGTGCTATTAACTTAGAAAATTGCTTTTGATTTCCCACTGACAAAACAGAAAGCAAAACTTAGCCTGCCATTTAGAAGACAAATGGTTTCTAGTTGTAAAATGCAAGGCTTGAAATTATAACAGCACAGTCMCAGAGCAATCTTTTTAATGATATTTCTCACATGGTGCTGTGAGTGTTGGTTGTCGTATTACACATTGTCTCCCAACATCCGATACTTGTTTTTAATCAGGCTGCTCACTAAAGCCTCATCTCTCAGCACCTGCCTGGAGAATAAAGAGCAGGCACTCCAGGTTGAGAGTGGGGTAAAGGCAATCATTAAATGTTTCCTTAAGAGGACAAAGAAAACTTTTCATTTCTTTTGAAGTCTCCTTTTGTGCTTCTCGCCTCCTTGGAGAGCTCGGGGAGGGTGAAACAGTGAGAGAGAGCAGCCAGGTGTGTGATGCTTCAGTGCTGAAAGGTGGGAGCAGCTCTCTCCTCAATGCCCATGCAAAATTTCCATGTATTTTTCAAAGCTCTYTGTGCAAACCAGCTGTCCCCTTAGCTGCAGTGGATCTTGCAAAACCCGATCTGAAGATGGAAAAATAATTGCTCGCGATGTTTTTTTTTTGAAAGTTGCAGTGCTGTGTTTAGGTGAGAGACGAGCACATGAACCAGATACTGTATATTGAATTACAGTACATCAGCTTAGTAAGTGTCTGGGCTCCTGCTCTGACTGCAGGGTARAGGCAAGGAAGCTGATCCCTTGCATTGAGGGATTAGCTGGCCTTGGTTCACTGTGGAGGCGCAGAGTGCTGAGGAAGTGGCTGACAGGCCAGATAGACTTGTCTTTTGRCTCCTTCACAATGCAAATGTAAAGACCCACTGCCATTCCAGCGTGCATCCCTGCTCRGGCTTTYRCATCCTGGATCAGTGGCCTTTCCTRGGAATCTGAGGTTGTGCTTTGCTTTTGAACTCAGGAAGGCCAGTGTGKGCYCCCAAAGGGTTTCAYTGCARTGAGGAGTTGCAACTTCATTTGCCTTGGTTKTGAATTCAAACCATTACAAAGAAAGAGGTGAATGTTTAGCTCAGCTGATTCTGTGGAACTCCCTGCTACAGCATTCTCTGATCCAAGAGATGCTCAGAAAGATTGAATTTACGTATGAGAGTAAGAATTGCTACAGCATGTGCAAAAARTGATATAAAAACTAAGGCAAAACCCCCTCGTGCTTCAGAGTTTAAGTCCAACCCTTAATTAAAATCAGGAAAAGGTGTCCAGGGTGTTTCTATTTGAGAGCACTGATGTACATCATTATCCCAGTGCATGGCCTGAAGGCTTTGGCTGCAGGATCATTGTGTTAATTCACTTTCAGCATGCTCAGATAGAATTAGACAACTCCTGGGAAACAGCCCTTGTAGCCCTGTGTCCTCCACAAGGCCAGGCCAGCAGTTTCCTTTGGGTGTAAACTCGTGGCCTTTTACCTTCTCTCCCACCTCAAATCCTTGGTTCCACTTTTGAACATCTTGGCACTGACAATTTTGGAAAGACTGATGCAGGGCTCGTGACTCAAGGCTGCAGCTGGGCCTCCCTGCACAGCARTTGTCTCATCATTAGAAGCACTTTGCCTGCCAGTTTTTATGTGCACATTTAGAGCTTTCTTAATATCACTTAATTAGTCAAAATTCAAGTTTGGAATTGTGCCCACTGGGAATTTCACTTGGTTTGGGCAGTCTGTTCGAGAAAGCCAAGCTGGAGCTCAGGTAAGAGCATGGGCAAATGGAGCCAAAAATGAGAGTAAGAGACATGGAAACATCCCATCACTCTTCATTAAAGCAGTTCAGGGACACAGGTGAGTCCTGGTTTCCACATCATGATGTTAGAAGTCCTGTTAAAAATTAAAGTTTTATAGCTGTAAAATCCATCTGATTGTGACCTTTAATACTGTCCTGTTCCACTGTGGCTGCAGCACAGAGCCTTTGCTCCATCTGAGCAAGTTACYAGTGCTGGAAAAACCTCTGTGCTGGGCTGTGCACCAAAAATTATCATCTCTCTCTAGCTGAAATACATTCTGTCCTCAAAATGGGTAAAGGCTCTGACAGAAGCAAGAGTCCTGGGAGGTTCAAGGCCTCCCAGTGCTACTTTTGTCCCTTTTCCATAGGGTGGAGACCAAGGGATAGCAATGAAAGTGAGACTGGGGTTTCTGTGTAGCTGAAACACATTTGACTTGAGCAGTGCAAGGTGGGCTTTGCTGTTGCTGGAGACCACCCTGCCCTGAGTGTTCTGGAACAGGCTTGGTGCTCATTCTGCCTGGGTAATAATTTTCCTCGATCTTCTCAAGCGTCTGCATCAGCTGGGAGCAGAGGACCTGGGCCATCTGTTGACCTGTCGAGAGCAGTGTAGGATTGCTGATGGATTTCTTGCCCCCACTCTGCACAAACAACAGCAGCAAACCCAACCCAACCAGGGTTGCATTGGCTGCAGATGGTTCATCCAACACCCTGAGTAGGAAAAGCAGGTGTTGCAGCAGCCTTGGCCCAGAGGTAACCCAGCTCTGCTGCTGGCACSGTGTCAAGGAGCTGTTGGAGGTGCTGTCAGGCAGATTGATGGTGCAATCCACGTTGAAATGTTTTCTGATAAATGGCACGGGCTCCTCGTGTCTCCTCCAAAGGCACGCCGTGAGTTCTGGGACTGTGCATCAGAACTTCATCCTGCTCCTTCCTCAGCTGGAGCAGCTTGGGAGCCTTTGGATGCTGCAGATGCTGGGATTTGGTTAAAGGTCACTGCACCTSGGCACTGCATTGCAGCAGCATCTCACTCAGCAAGACAAAGGCAGCAGTGCCAACCAGGTGAGGAGACACCCTAAGAACGAGCTCGCTCASCACTGGGGTGAAAAGATGAGCAGAGACATCTTCTGAGCCAGCAGACAACACCCAGGAGAAGGAGTCCAGATCAAATAATTCAGATTTCCTCAGAGATGGAGGTTTGGGCATCACCAGCATCCCTAAGAGCCCTGTGGCTCCCGAGTGGGGAAGGGCAGCAGTGTGCTGGGAGTAGCCTGCAGRTGGATGTGGAAGGAGACTGGAGCAGAGGAAAGAAGGATTTTACTCTTTCCTTCACTGGATTTTACTCTTTTCTTCCAGATGTTCCTCTCCTGCCTTTTCATCATTTAGTGATGTATTTAAAAAGATTCACAAGGTCCTCATGTTTAATGAGTGAACAAAATTCCAGTTTTCTGGAGGAGAGTAGATACTCTTTTTTTTTTTTTGTTTTTAAAACTTTGTCTCTGGCCTGGTCTTTTCCAGCCTTTCAGGAGATAACAAAGTCAGCTGGGGACAGTTCCTCTGTTTCGTTATTGTCTCTCTGCTGAGGTCCTTGGTACCAGCTTTTGTGAGGTTGCAACTTCATTGCAGATGTGCACAAGCAGCTCTAAACCTGAGTCTTTTATTCCTTCCTCTGTCTCAATATACCGTGATACCGAGACATGAGATCACAGCAAGAGGTGCTGATAATCCACGTGTTTCTGCAGTGATGGGAACATGGGTTCTGTCTGTGTTGCAGATGCAATTTTGCATTCACAGCCTTTCTGTGAAGCTTTTTGCCATGATATAACCACACAGCTCCCTCAAATTAACATCCCACCAGACTCCAGCACCAGGGAAAACACAGGGAGGTGGGAGAATGCACATGGAGGCCAAAGAGATTAAATACCTTGCCCAAGGGTGCTTAGGGGTGAGTGTTAAAGTCTTGCTCTATTCTCCTGGCCTTTTTCTCATGACAGTGGTGAGGAAAGGTGCCCTGTGGTTACCTCACTGCTCTGGCAGAGCCAGAGACTATCCCCAGTTGAGCAGAGAGGGGAATTTGCAGCTTTACCAGCAGAACTCAGGGCTCAGTGACCTGRTGCAGTTTCCTGGTGTGCTGTCATGCAGGCTGGGGCTGGTGCTCCTGCCTGCAGCTCTTCCATCTCGTGGTTAAACAGGGCCTTGACAGCTGCTTTTCTTCTCTGGGTGATGAGCATAGGTTCCACAGCACAACTCCATTGATTTTTGTGGCCCCGGGTTAGAGGGAGAAAGCTCCCTTTTCCCTGCATCCCTGCTTTTCTGAGTACAGCTGATCACCTCTGCGGGGAGTATTGATTTACTAATTGGGCAGCGATTTTACCTGATTGATAATAAAGTGTTGGACAACCTCCCTGCTGAGCTGCAGCTCAGCCCCGCAGCTACCGGTGGATTCCTTGTCCTTTCACAGCAGATAGTTCCCTGTTGTTAAACTGGTCTGTTGCTTGGTAACCCTGGAATTACTGTAGTCAGTGCTTGGAGAAAACTATTAAAGTGTCAAATAGAAACTTCACCCGCTGGTGGAGGGGGCTGAGCAGAGGCTACACCTGCACAAGGTGTGGAAATGGGGAAGGGAAATACGAGAATTCCCTTCCCCTGTTCTCCCTGTGTGTTTGGCCTGTTGAATGCATTGATCCATTGCTGCAGMCAGAAATTCTTCCTTTTCTTCAATCCCCAGCGTTTGTTTTGGACACCTGAAGGGATTTGGAGACAGTGCTTTGAGGTGTCACCTTTAGGGCTGCTCTGTTGTCCCCAAAGCACGCTGGTGTGGGTGTGGGGCTGGTGTTTAAATCCCTCATGTTCAGAGGGACAGACAAATTTCTCTTCTGTTTTTCTGAAAATATTTGAGATGTGGTACAGGTCCTTACTAGAACTTGTGTAGAGATGTGCACCTTGGAGGTGTTGAAGGCCAGGTTGGACCTGGTCTAGTGAAAGGAATGAGATGATCTTTAGGGTCCCTTCTAACCCAAACCAGTCTGTGATTCTGTGATGATAAAGAAGAAAGTGGGATGTGCCAACAACAATAGCTGTGGACACCTCATTGTGCCCAGAACTGTGGGAATGAGGTTGGGAATGATGGGTGCTGCACCCAGGAGATTGCATTTTAAATAACTGAGGGTGATAGCAACAAGGATGAGATTTGCCCAAGGTTATAGAGCGGGACAGTGGCAGAACTCATGGTGGAAAATGCTGAGTGGGKTTTTATATTTATAGCTGGCACTTTAGGGCTGCAGGGACATCCATGTTGGAGTTTGGTGGCCAGGCAAAACGCAGCTACCCTTGCAAAAGCCACTCGGGAGAGGGAGGCTGTGAGGTTCATGTGATGGCTGCAGGACACTGCAAGAAAAGAGTCTGTTGGGCTTGGGACATTTTAATTTTTCCCTTGTTTGTTTGGGAGGCGGTTGTTTTTTCAGGCTCTGGATTTATAAAATGTTTCCATTTTTCGATGTCATTAGGCTGTTAGGTGAGCTGTTGTTGTTGTTTTGGTTTTTTTTTTAATTTTTTTTTAAATTTTTATTATTATTTTCAAACTGCTGTATCACCTAATTCACCAGCCTTCAAATGCCCACGAGAGCATTTGTACAGAACAAAGGCGTTGCTTTTAAAAACGCTGCGATACTTTGCCACCTTTGTGAAAATCTGTCACAACAATATCTAATTTTGCTTGAGACAGAATTTCAAATCCAGGATCTGTCAGGATCTGAATTCCTTTGCTYTTCCCTCTGCCCAGGTCTGAGCTGCTGAAGAAGACCCACGGCAAACGCCGGCTCGCTGAGATGCTGCGCTCCGAATATTCCAGCGGGATGGACACCGGAGGAGCCAAGGTCAGGAAGAAGAAGAAGAGAAAGCTGAGCAAAGCTGGCGAGCAGCAGATTCCAACATAAGCCAGGGCCTTGCAGTGGTTGGCTGTGAAAGCTGCTTGAGTGCCTCAGCCGGGGGTCGGGGTGACCTGCCAAATGGACTGAGGAGCRTTTCCATTTATCAGGCAAGTGTGGGAGGGATCCTGGGGATCTTGGCCTCCTCCCCTTCGTTCCATAGGTCCAAATGGAATGGAATTTAGGTGTGTCCTGATGTACTGCTGCAATTAAATGTGGCCTCCTGAAGATGCGCCGAGTTTCTAAGGTGGTTTTTAGCAAGAAAAATAAAAAAAAGGTTAAATATGATTTTCAGAGAAACGTGATGTCTGTGCAAYGTAAAAGTGAGATCAGAGTGGGCAGACAGAAGGTGCTTTTGTGTTTAAGGAGCTGTAGAAACACTCCCCAATGCCTTCACTTGCTGTTTCCAGCCAGATAAACATGGCAGGGGAGGTGTCCCAGGAGCACAGCGGGGAGGGGACGCTGCCCTGTCYCCTGACACCATTGATGCCTTATCAATCAGGCTGATCTGAAATAGAGGYCAGACAAAGTTAAGAGAATGGGAACAGACAACTTTAATCCAGGCCTAACAGGCCCCCTGGTACATTAGGGCAGACAAAATCCTCCTCCTGAGGCTACACCCAAAATGGACCCTGAGTCACGGGATCTTCACCTTTTATAAGTTCTGCCATCTTAACATATTGGGTCTTAATTCTCCAGTGATCTTTACAGGTGATAATGTCACCACCCCAAACTTGCTTCCCCCCAACTTGCTGCTGTTTCCATATTTTGGGGCTCTGAGGTGTCCTTGGATTCAGGCTCAGAGAGGGATTGTTTTGTCTAAAGATGGGAGAATGRKAGTTTTAGTGCTGTACTAGAGAAGTACAAGAATACAGACGTATGAAAATACAGAAATGAAAAATCCTAAGGCATCACCATAAAGGGCCCACTTMTGCTCCTGTCCCAGGTGATGAAGCCACGTTGCTGCCACCTCCTCTCCTGTCCTCTGTGCCCAGCTCTGTCCCCAGTCCCTGTCAGTCAGAATTGTCCCCTGTAGGGTTGCCAGTGACACCATTGTGGAGAACTCTTCAGTGGGGTGACACASGGTCCCTTTGGGGCACAGCTCATGGGCACAAAACTTCATGTTCAGGAGCAAACATCACTGGGGGAAGGAGCTGGTGAGGAATCCTTCACTCTCCCAACTTCTCCTTGCCTGCAGCATGTTGTCATCCCTGATTATGTAACACACAGGGTGGATGAGATGTCTCACCTCTCTGAACATTAAAGGCTTTGCAGGCTCTTGCAAACACTTGCCAGGAGTGACCCAGCCTTTGGGGTTCTCTGCCTTGTCTGGGCCTGTTTGGWGCTAATGGATTTCACTTCTTTGCCATCCTTGTTCTTATCAGAGAATTGGGACACTGGGAAAAGCGATGCAGGATGGTCCCAAATGTGCTGAAATGGGCTCTTGTTCACCATTGAAAATGAAACCCAAAATCCCCTTGGAGTGGAGAAGTGCCCCCAAAGCCTGCAGGAGATTTTCCAACTCTCCCAGCTCCTTCCACCTCCCTCCCCATGCTCCTCCCTCTKCTCCTTCCAGCCCCTCCTAGAACACAATAGGGGAAAACAGTGCAAACTCTGCCAAAACACAAATTTCTGCTCCTTGTTCGTGTCATCCTCGAGGAAAGGGATGAGSAAGAGCAGCCCACCCGTGACCTAAGCCAGGCATGTTTAATGCAGCAGCAGAAAGTGCTCAAATGGTGGCAATTTCAGACGTCAGAAGGAAAAAAGTACTGAAAAAGGAGTATAAACAGATGAAAATGAAGCCTTGTAAATGCAGAATTGAGGGCACCTACTTTGGGCTGTAGTGAGTCATACAAAGGATTGTAGGAGAGAAGCAATCAGCCCCAAAGTAGTTAATTTCTGAAGTGAAGGTAACTTTTGAGAACCAGAATTTTTATTTCCTCCCAGGCAATTACCAAACACTCAGATTTCACTGCAATACTTTTTKGAACACTTCTGAAAGATGATAAAAAGGCTCCAGTATCAAATTAACCACGATTCTGCAGTGAGAATGAAGTTACAAGCATTTATTAGATCAAAATAAAATAACAACAAAGCCCACCTGATTTTGTTATGAGAACTATTTGGAAGAGCAATCAGGTTTAAGGCAAATGTCAGCTTAAACAGAAAAGAAACCCCTGAGGATGGAAATGACTCAGAGTGATGCAGAGAGTGTAAGTTTGGGAATGATCTTGTGCATGAGGGGAAAATACATGACCTTCTCCTGGCTGACTGTCACATAGGAATTAATAGGGAGTATTGGCAAATTTATAATAATGGGAATAAAGGCCAACTGCACATAGGTGAGAGACATCAGGAAATCTCATTGCTGCCTGTATTAACTGGGCATAAAACATTACAGATGGTTTTGATGAATAAAGTGATTTTTAAAAATCATGGAGTGCCTTTTTCTTTCAGCTTCATCATCTTTAGCAGATAGTGGTGGATTTGTGTGATTAGGGAAAGGGAGAGGAGGAGATTGTTGAATAAGAAAGTGTTAAAAGAAATGCACATGCACCTGAAGTTAGGCAGAGTTTGCTCCTAATAAACTTGAAGGCCGATGAGCAAAATATGTTTGAATTGTGGCTGTATGGGCAGGAGTCAAATTCTGCTCTTATTTACATTTGGGCAGCTCCAGATGAGCTCTGAGCTGGCTTTACCCTTGTGCACCACTCAATTCAGGAAGAACCTGGTAGGTTTGGAGTTGATTTTACTCAAATCATGCCCTCATTCAGGTGAGGCAGGGTGTGGTGCCTGGAGCTCTGAGCTGCTGTAGAGTTTCATCTCCACCACCTGCAGCAGCAGGGCTGGGGTGTTGTGTGTGAGGAGCTTCCCAAATTCTTTGAGCATCCAAATTCTGGGGGTGACTGGATTCCTGTGTGTGGAACAGGTGGATTGCCCTGAGCTGCTCCTGAATTTGTCCCCTCTTGCTCTGAGGTACGTGGTGTGGCCTGGAGGGGTTTTGGCTGGGTGGGAGCTGCCTGCACATTTGGCAGGGGAGGGGAGCTGGGTTTGGCAGTGTTGGTGGAACTGCAGCTTTGTTTTTGGCTTTGGTCAGGTTTGCCTGTCTGATTGTGGTGGAGGGCAGGGGCCTCAGTGCCCTGCAGCCCCTGTGTTTGGTGTGGAAATGTGGCACTGTGTAACTTCTGTAAAGCTGCCTGGGAGTCAGAGCTGGGCTGAGCTGGGTTTACCTCCCCTGCTCTCACACCCTGCTCTTACAGGAGATTCTCTTGGCGTTTTCTCAGCTCTCTTCTGGCTCCGTGTCCTTTAGCTGTAGCAGGAACTCACATCCTCCTCCCCTCTGCAGCTGGAGCATCTTCAGTTCACTCTGCAATGCTTTGGATTAGGAAAAAGCAAGAAGGTCGCCTTGGGGTGGGGTCACCATTAAACACCCACTTCAGGGTCTGGAGCAGACACCAGACTGCAGAGAAGCACCCAAACTGAGCAGGGTAGGAAGCAGCAGAACCTCCCTGTTTACAACTTGTTTGCTCCCTAAACCTGGGGAGAGGGCAGGAAAAGTGAGTGCTCTGGGCTTTCCATTCTGACATGGTTCTGTTTGGTGTTTGGATGAAGCCATGGAATATCTCAGCTGGAGACAATTCTGGTTTCAATGACTTTGTGCGTGCTGGTGTGAGCAGCAGGGCAGTTTTTGTTCTGTGTCCGTTCTGAGGRTGTGAAGCTGTCAGGAGGGAGGAAGGTGGCCTCAAGCTGGGTAAAAGCCTAGAAGGACTTGAGATCCAGGGCTGTGTTTGGTTCTGGCACACCCACAGCRCTCTCTGGATGCAGAGCCGGGTGCTGACAGAGCCCAAGCAGCAGCAGCAGCTTTGTCTGGTGGACTCTGCCCTGGGAGAAATCCATGGAGCAGAACTGGTGCAGTGCTCCAAAGGGTTCCCTGCTGGGACTGCTGCTTCTTAAATCCCTTTTTTTGCTCCATAGAATTCAACCCAGCACAGCCTGTCCCAACCCTGAGGCCTTGCCAGGATCGTGCCCATCCTCTGGAAACATTTCCAGGGCTGCTGTAGGGGCAGGGCCAGCTCTGGTGGGGCACAGGCTCCCATCTCAGTCCCTGCACACAGGCTGCAGATGGGGTTGGTCCTTCAGCAGGTTCTGAGGCTGCTGAGATCCCTCTGCACGCATGATGCTGTTCATGTGGCACTGCTCTGACTGGAGCCTGTGGTGTCTTCCCCAAACTGATTTATCTCAAAGCTGAGATCTCGCTGGCAGTGACAGCTCCAGCCCTCACCTCYCCTCTGCTCTCTTTCCTTCCCACCACCCCTGGCACTGCTGTGCCCCCTTCCCAGAGCAGAGATTTCCTCAGAACTCTGTCCTGCTCTCTCCCACCATCCTCGAAACACAAACCAGACCCTGGCACTGTGTGGTGRTGCTGGCTCAGACCTGCTGGTACAGGGGTGTTTCCAACTCCTTCCAGATGTGAAATGGCAAATTTAAATATTGCAATTACAAACGTGTTACGAAGCCTTGTATTTCATTAATGTAAGAGGAGGAATCTGCCACGGCTACAAGGACAATTAAATATTAGAGAATGTCTTTGATTCACATTCCTGCTGTGTAAATGGGAGGAAGGTTGCTGTATGCTCCTTGCCTTTGCGCTCACAAAATGAAAAGCACACCCACTGCAAGTTGTCCTTTGATAGATTTTTAATATGATTTTAAAGAGTTTTGTTTGGCCTCATTCTTATTCAATGAGATTAATTTAAAGCACTTATCCCCTGGGTTTAAGTCAATCCATGTAGGATTTGGGACGGGGGTTGTTGCCCGGGGAGGGGGTTGTTTGCAGGCCTCTCTGAAAGACTCCTTTCCCACTTCATTAACCCCGAGCTGGGAGCGCCCCCCCTTCCTCCTCCTCCTCCTCCTCCTCCTCCTCGCCCAGCCGAGGCCCGGGGATTTACCAAACTCCCCCATTCACATGCAAAGGACCAGCACCGTCTACAAAGGCCGGGGGCTCTCGCCCCCAGGCGTGGCTGCGCATTTGGCCGAGCCACAATCGCCCTCCCCGCGGGGCTCGGGGGTGCCGGGGCAAAGCTCCCGGGACGGACAGCACCGAGCTGGGACCCGGAGAGCCGGGCAGGGGGATCTCGGGGGCCGGTGGGTGCCGGGGGGGCTCCGCAGACGGCCGGGGGGAGCTGCCGGGGCCGGGGGGACCCGCAGCCCATCTGTCGGCTCCCGGAGCCGGAGAGCCGCTGCCCGGCTGTCCCGGGCACCAGCTGCCGGGCCCGCTGGCCGCGGCCAGATGAGCGACACTTTTAAAGGGTGGAAACAATCCATTTTCCAAAGCGATCATTTAAAGCACTTAGGCAATTATACACTTAAGATTAGCGTTATTAATTCACCGGAGTCGCGGCCATCTCCGCGCCGGGCGGCAGCGCTCCGGTCCCCCCGCTCTCGCCGGCGGCCCCGCGACCGGTCCCGCATGCCGGCACTGGGGCCGGGCCCCGGGGGGGACACCGAGAACGCCCCGGGGGGACACCGAGAACGCCCCGGGAACCGGGGGCACCCTGCCATGGGAGGTGGGAAAACTCCTCTTTGCTTTTCCCGTTCCCTCGGCGGCGGCCGCTCCGCCAGAGCAAACAAGCGGGAGGGGAAGAAGGGGCCGGCGGAGACGAGACCCGTTTGTTTGTAAAGAAGTTTTATTTCCACATTTAAAAAAGGGGGGAGCGGGAGCGGCCGCGGCGCCCCGAGCCCCCCCCGCGCCCCCCGCCCGGCCGGGCCGGCCCCGGGATACAGACTGACAAGAATCACTTACACAAATACGCCCTCAGGGTTCACAAATAAATAATTCATATACATTTTGCACCGTATTTACATTCCACCGCTTTTTTTTTTTTTTTTGCCTTTTTTTTTTTTTTTTTTTTTTTTTTTTTTTTTTTTTTTTTTTTTTTTTTTTTTTTTTAAGTTTAAGTTACGGACGTCCCAAAGTCTCGCTGGGGCCATCGGCCCGGGCCACCCCACGGTCCTTCCCGGCGGCGGGACGGGTTCCCCGGGGAGCAAAGTGGGGAGGGGTCCCCCCGGAGCCGTCCGTGGCAGGCGTGGCTCCCCTGACTGTTCCTGGGGASGGGGCGGAGAGGAGAAGCCCCCCCGGAGCATCCGACCCTGGCGCCGTCCCATGCCGGGGTGGGGGACACGCAGCGGCCCCGCTGCCCGTAAAGGTGGCGAGTGCCCCGCGGGGTGGGGGAGGCTCTGCCGGCTCCGTCCTTGCTTCTTGTATTCTTTATATATACTTTAAAAAAGGAGGGGGTGGTCTCATTTATAATTTTATATATATATATATTTGGGGATGAGCGGGAGTCTGTCTCTTGCTCGCGGCCCCAGAGGTGTGGGGTGACCCCCTCCAGCCCCCCGGCCCGGTGGG